CCAACCCCCCCCCCCCCAGCCTTTTTCTATATCATTAGTGTAATGCTCCCGTTTCCCCCGAGCTGCTGAAATATGGGGAGATTCCAACAAGCGGGGAAGGAGGAGGGGAGGAATGAGTCACATGCCACCTACCATCTTTTTTTTTTTTTCCGTTTGCGGAGGCAGAGAGAGGTGCAGGGAAATATTGTTCTCCTTTGTCTCCTGAAAAGAAAACAGCTACTTTTAAGAAACACCTATGAAAAACTGAATTTATTCCTAATTGTAGACTAAACCAACCAAATAGCTGCATCCACATTAAGCAAATACACAATCAGTGATCATCATTGTACTATTTGCTGGCGATGGTAAAGTAGATGTCTTTTACATTTATATTGGGCCTACGATTGATCTGTGCTCTGTCACTGTAAAAAATACAGTTGTCAGGTTAGATATACAACTGATTACTTGTTGAATTACCCAACAAGTAAGAGATAGCATAATCCCTTGCTAAGGGGCCCCTGAACTAGAAGGTCCAGACCAAAGTTCTGGAAAGATGGTGGTTTGGTTTAATATGACTTGTGACACAACGTGTTTATTTACATTTAACCAAAAACATGATCTCCTCCTAACCTTACCCTTAACCTAATTGCTTTGTTGCCCAAACCTAAACACAGACAAGACTCAGGATATGAACTCTGGACTATGGCGAGACAATTGTGTTTTGTACGGCCGCCTCAAACACGTGCAAGCAACCTTGATATAGTCGATAAATTTAGGGCGCTAGTCACCGCAACGTCATTGGGAAACAGTTTAATAACATGCTGTACATGTCAGACAAGGTTGGTTCGTGCAGATAAAAGCTTACTTAAAAGTCTCAGAACCAAAGAGGGTCTTTAAAACAACATATTCTATTCTTATTTGAGAATTTAGAATTTTATTTTATTGTTTGTCACTTCCTTCCAGCTCAAATCATGGACAGCGTTTGTTCAAAAGACCAAAGCTTACCTTTTCCTGACATGCAACCTCCTGAGGTCTTGGGGATAATGACTGTTGTCTCCAATAAGTGAAGGCGGAAACAGACTTACGTTGCTATAGCGAAGCAAAACCCCTGAGGGAGTGTTCTGAAAAGCAGTTTGTTGCTGAACCTGTAAGGACAGGGTGACTAACCACGAGTGAGCCAAAAGTGTGTAGGTGTTCCAGCAGGTCACTTCAGTGGGAGGTTTCATTGATGAGTTTTACCCCCTTCTACCTGAAGCAGCGCTTGTTAGTGAGTCATGCTGCATGTTGCCACCAACGGGCCCCTGAGCAGAAATTCCTTTGTTATACATGCTTGTTGTTGTGCATGTGCCCCGTCCTGTTCATGTACAGACTATTGAACTTAATGTCAGGAGTTATCAGGTTCCCATGGTGCATTTTGGCCCTGTGGCCGAAAGCAGGTTAATCCACCAATGTTAACTTAAATGTTGTAAGAAAAGGTTATTTCATTATTGCAAAACTGAATAAATTGTTTCCTCCTGACTAAATTTTTCATTCTGGATGATGAAGCAAGTTGCCATTTTAGGTGAATTCTGTTTTTTTTCTTTGTGTGGTTCCCTCTAAGCCAAGGTCTGGCTACAGCTCAGGGTGTACGACTTTCCTCTGTTATGGTCTATGTCATAAAAAGCCACTTGAACAGACCATTGTTTGGATGTTTTTTGCAGGGTGGCTGCAGCACCATGTCCTCGGCTCAGAGTGGGGATCTATCAGGCTACCATCTGAGTGGTGAGTGGACAGCTCAGCATGTCACAGACAGTTTCCAGCACAGCACTTTACTGATCTCTGCATGAGTCCCTTTTTCATGTGTATCAGACTATGAGAAATGAAGCTGTTTTTTGATTTTCTCGCGGCTATTTGACAGCTGCTGTCACCTTTACACACAAGCTTTACAACACCTGTGGCCTCATCGGTAGCTGAAGGCCGCCGATGTTACAAAACATGTGAACTGGCCGTATAATTGGCTTATCTCTTGTGTTAGAGAGTAGTGATGAAGCTGTCAAAGTCCTCCTACAGATGCAATTCATCTTGAAATGGCAGCTCGACGCGGGCTCATAATCCCTCTCTGAAATGCAACAGGAGACGCTCTGACGTTAAATTCAGAGCGGCGTTTCAGTATGTCTGTCACATTTTGTTAGATTTTGTCACTTTTTATCCAAAACTATTACTGTACCTGATTTAATACAAGTTTATAAGTCCTGACTATTCCCCAAAGTCTCTACTCACTGCTAAATGACAAGACTTGAAACAGTGGCGGGCTGTGCTCAGCTTGTTAAGACTCCTACTGGTCTTAAAATAAAAAGCCTCACTAAACTCTGTTCCCTGGGTTTCTCCCAGACTGTGCACTTTCACCAGCGATCAAATTCTCCCTTTAAATATGAAACATAGACAGTTATGAGGCCAAGCTTTATGCTGAGGTAGGAGTCCATAAGGATAGCCGTGAGCACCTGTTGTTTTCTGTGCGTGTTTCAGTGGTGCGTAACCCGCCCGGCTGGGAGGTGGGGATCTACCTGGTGGGCTTCTTCGCGCTGCTGGGTGTGGCCGGGCTCAACATCTGGAAGCTGTGGAAATCTGGAACCTTCCCAGCGCCATCTCCCTTCCCCAACTTTGACTATCGATACTTGCAAGAAAAATATGGAACCTCCTTCTCAGAAGTCAGACAAAAGGTACATTTGCATTCATGCTGCTCAGAAATGTTGAATATCAGTGCTGTGTACAAAATATGACTCTGAAACTTTCCCACAAGGCAGAGAGGTGAGACGTTTTGTGAAGTTGATGTTAGTGACAAAATCAACCAGCTTCTTTGCCCGGAGAAAGCGATGAATAATCATGTGGCACAGAGGGTCAATAGTCTGGAGGTTTTCCTTCCAATTGGATGGCAGCAGCAGACTTCAAAGTAAAACTTCCTGTTGCTGAAGGTTCATTGTTTTTTGAAAGTCACTTTAGTTCACCTTCAGAGTCTTGGGCCCCAGTGGCATATAATTGACTCTCTCTGCTGTAAAAGCTGAATCTCAGATTTATTACAGTTTCTTCTTCTTTTTGTAATTGTGGCCATCTTATCTATCGGTTAGAATAACAGGCGCTCACAAAAGTAGCTTCTGAGACCTGGAAACAAAGTAACAGCACCACCACAACGTCTGATGGAGCAAGAAACACAAGCAGGACAATTTGGTACAATTTAGGTAAAGCAGTTGCTCGTAGTGACAAAGCTACAGAGAATCATCAACTGAATCTGCTGCTCCACTCTGCTTTACGGAGCTTAATAGTGAGTTTCAGCCAAGCAACTGCAGTTCCTCGAATGACCACTTGAGGCTGGCCACAAAAGTGAGTCAATCCCCATAGACTACCATGTTAAAATGCCTAACTTTACAGCTGAAATAAACATGTTTACAGCCTGGTACAAAGCTAATTTATATAGGCCTAGCTAATTTTCTCCTCATGACAACTGTACAGGGGTGAATTTTACATAAAGTTCTGCATAATGGAGGTTGTGGCCACTCTGAGAGACAGATGGGTGAGTGTATGCTAGCCACAAACTGGCATGCACAAAGTCTCGGCTCCACACACGCCCCACCTCTCAGCCCATTTTTGGATTATCCAGGATTTAGGTGGAGTCAGGCACTGCCAAGGTGGTGATGGTATAGCAGCTCACTCTGAGCTTCAAAACCACTCTTCTACGGGTGACGCCACAGAGGCTATGTCCATTTTTAAATACAGTCTATGGTTTTAGCTTATTGTTTAACTGTTCAGCCCACAACTTTACTGTTTCATTAACTCTCACTTCTCTCATAGTGTTGGTTTCAGCCACAGCAGACAGATGTTTTCAGTGAAAAAGCTAAAACAAAACAATTGTACACTTGTGTCAAGTTTGAATCGGAGTTGTTTATCTCTTAATGGTAAAGTGATAGGGTTAGAACTTAGTTATGCAGCATTTAGGGAAGCATTGACTAACCGAAAAATAATCCAGTAGTTACAAACAAGTGGACAACAGAAAATTAACAGGAAGTGTTTTATTCCTTTCGTCCCCCTAACTTTAAAATGTTTTGTCCTTGTCCTAAAGAGAGTGGCGGCCAACAATCACCGGCGGACCTCCTACACCTCCAGCCGCAAACCCAGTCTGGCCCTGGGTGACACCCCAGATGGCTTCAGGGACCTGGGCCACCTGGAGCTGATGAGCAGGGAGCTGGACCCGACTGGCATGGCCCAGCTCAACCGCTCCATCTCCACCGACTCGCTCAGCTCCATCTCCTCCATCGCCAACAACTTTGGCCACGACTTCACGGTCGGCCAGCTGGAGGTGACACTTGAGTTTGAGCAATCCAGGCAGCCGGGCCAGGGAGTGGGAGTGCTCCACATCACCCTGCACCAGGGCAAAGACCTCCTGGAGAGAGAGGAAGGGGACTTCCCCGGCTGCTTCATCAGAGTCTCCCTGGGGCCAGAGGAGCTAAATGTTGGAATCACACGGGTAAGGAAGTTGTGTTCTTTTGTAGATATATCAGTATGTTATGTCTTAAAAATTATAGAAAGGAAAAACCCACTGAAGGCATCAGATGGTTATCCTCAGCAAATGACTCCAATAATTTAATTGATTGTCAAAATCGGTTGCCACATCAATCACTTGGCTAATTATTTCAGTCCTGTAGTGTGTTTTTGTAAGTGTGAATGCATGTGCAAACATGGCTGGATCAGTGTCAAGTAAAGGCAATCCATATTTGACAGTGTTTCAAACATTTGCTCATTAAAGATGAGACAATGTTCCTCGTTAGCCGGCGCCGTCATACAAAATTAGGATAGGAGACTTTCAACATAGACTGCTAATGGAGCAGAGATCCAAGACTGAGGATAAAAATGAAAGGAATAGCTTCTCAGATGGGTAATTAGCAGTTAAGTCATGATGATTGAACTTCGGCAGAGGACTGAAGATAAAAGTATGTTGTGGGAGAGCAGTAAGGCTTGTATAGTGTCTGAAGCGATCTCGCTCAGGGGCCAACTTTGGCTTGCGTGAACTGTGTTTAAGATTTTAGTCCTGGCTGAATTTGAGACAGAGACAGCGATATGTCCTGCGGGGTGAGAGGCTTGATCCTGCAGCTTGACAGGCGAATCCTTTCCTGTCTGAAACCAAGAGCCCATTTCATTTGCTTGAGTGGCGAGCCCCTCAGGAGATAGATGTAGTAAGGGAGGTTGATTTGACTAATTTACCTTCATCAAGAGTGGATGTGATTGACTTTCAGCTCTCTCAGTTTGAACCTGTGTTCACTTGCAGTTTAGGTTGTAATGATGATGATATGTGGCATTCTGCACTTTTTACAGGGCGATTCACAACAGTCCTCGTGATGAGATTTGATTCATTTTCAGTTCACTCAGTTCAAAATTCAGATCAATGCTGCAGGTCGCAATATAACAAAGCTGAGTTTAGGTTAGATAGGAGAGTTAACACTACAAACCATCAGAGTTTTTGCCATACTACCCTGTTAATACCTCTGGGTGTCATTGGCCTCTGGGGACAGTTCTGCAAATCAGTGAGTAAGACAATGTGATGAAGAACATTGATTATACAGGAATTTTAATTATCTTAGTCAAAAACAGATATTTCTGTTTGGTTACTTTTTAACATTTCTTGATTAATATCCATATATACATAAAAAGATAAAAGATGAAAATGATCAAAATAACATTTTTTAATCTCTCTAAAAAATGAAATTTTCAATAGTTTTTTTAAAATTCTGTGCATTTAGTTCATTTGTTTTTTATTTCAGCTGTTACATTGCTCCTTTTCTGACCTATTATTCATATTTTATTGCACAAGAAATTGTTTTTTTGAAAAAATTACATATGTATGTAATAATAATATGTATGTATATTATATATATATATATATTCCTATAATTATTATTATTATAATTATTATTATTACTAATTGATTTAGTCAAGTTACTATCTAATAAATGTCAATATGAGACAGTAGGCCCTCACTACCTCTTAATCTTGACCTACAAAGTTAAACTTTGTTCATGAGTATTTCAATTTTTTTTATCATGCATCATTTTATTTTCTTTTTTTCATCTTTTCATGGCAGAAATGTGCTTATCTTGATTGTTTCTTTAAATCTCCTACTTTGAAATGTGTTTCTCTAATGTGGAGTGACTGTTCAGACAGGAAAAGAACAGAGCTACATTCCTCCATCTGCTACACCTGCCTCTCGCCTTCTGCTCTTAGCTCGACGTTGCCAGAAAATTCATCAATTCCCGCCTGGCTGTGAATCATCAGCATGGCGCCTTGTGTGACTGTGGTTTAGTACAGTTTGTGCAGCCTGACAGGGACGACACACAGAGACTCGTCAGGGCTCCAGTTTACTTGAGCATGTTGTTGTGTTGTATTAATGCGTTCAGGCTGTGTGTAATAATGGAAGCAGGCACTAATGTGGTGGCTTCAGTGGCTCCCTCTTTAATCTCGAGGAGTGGTGAAGACCAAAGGAAATGCTGACATCAGCTTCACTCGCACTGATGGTCAAGCCAGCGTTTCTCTCTCTCCCTCTCTCTCCCTCTCTCTCCCTCGTTTTCTTCCCCAGCTTTTCTCCGTTGTCACTGTTTTTATTTACCCCATCAGCTGTCTATCACTCCCTCTTTCTCCCTCTTTCTCCCTACCTCTGTCCTTTCTCTCGCTCATTTTCCCCTCATCTCCGTTTCTCCTCATTTATTTGCTGTCACTGCTTCTTGCTTTTGTTTTGCCTGTAATGATGTGTATATGCCAGTCTTCAGCTCACACTCACAGAGCCGCACACATACACACAAGCCTCTCTCTCTCTCTTTATTGCCTCATTTTCACCACACACAACTCCATTGTAATCTCCCAAGTGATAAGCCTAACAGTGCAGACAGGAAGTCTCATATTGTGGATGGAGGACAGGTCTGTGTGCTGGGCTGGCAGACGGATGCTGCCTGCTTTGGGTGCCATATATCTTTATGTACATATTTACACAGCAGCAGCAGCAGCAGCAGCAGCAGGGCCTCTCTGGACTCTGTAGGTGTATGATTATGATGCCATTCAGCTGTTTTATATGAGGCACAATCCAAGGTCAGCCTCACAGGCTGATTTGTGGACCCTGTGCTCTTAATGCTGAATTCTTCTAAGATTCAGATGGTTGTTATTTTCCTATTTATCAATAACAACTCCTGGTGACCTTGCACAGCACCTGCCTCCACTCTTCTGTTCTGTTTCACTGTATTTATTATTGGAAGCTCCCGGGGTTTATTTCATGTTTATTTATCAGAAACATCCCTCTTTGCATTTCACACTTAAAGAACAAATGCTGGTGTGAAAAAAGGGCTATTATTAAATCCACTCTCCTCTGCACATTTACTAGTTGCCTGGTAACTTCCAACAGTTTTAAAACCCTCGTTTCAGCACGTGCTGCAGCAGCTGATGATGGCTGGAAATCAGCATTAGACACAAAGTTAGCATTTGGTCACTGGCTGAATAGCTGATCCTCTCACTTTGATCTAAAGTAATCATGGTGTGCTCTGCGGGCTAGGCCAAACTGCCTTCAGACTGTGTTTGTCATTGTAAAAGCTGTGTTTGCCTGCCAAGAAAAAAGAAATGTAATAGTGAGGAGCAATATGAAATGATGCTGCTGGTGTTTTTATTCCAAGATGAAGGCAATAAAAAAAAAACATCAAGTAGCAGCAGAGTGGAGGAATATTTCTTTGGAAATATGACATGGTAGGAAAAGTATCCTCTATGACCTTGTGCTCTTAATGTACTTTCTGTTCCTGCTTCTCCACAATATTTGCGAATATTTGTTTGACATTTTGCATATTGGGTTTGTTGTTGCTCCTGGCGTTTTCAGACTTCTGAAAAACTTGGTAGTTATATCTGTCGTGGTATCGGGTTATGTTTTCACCCATGACTGTTTTATTTCTCAGCAGGATTATGGCAGATCTGGATCGTTTACTATGAATTTAAAAAGGAATTTCTCTGAAGTCTGGTGTATGCTGTTTGACACTGGCCTTGGCAGAGGTCTGTGCTCTCTGAGTGTTTGTGTAGTTTTAATTATTTTGAGATATTACATAACATTAGATTCCGCTTTACTGTCACTGCACAGAGTGCACAGCCCCTGAACAAACAAATGTAGTTTGGCATCTAACCTGAAAGTGCAAACGGTAGCAAAGTGCATTAAGATAAGATGTGCACAGAATGAACAATAAGCCAGTATGGAGTATGTACAGTATGAATGGATGGTATTGATGAATGCAACTTTGATATTTGTTGAATTCTTTAAAGATATCCTCTGAGATTTCCACCAGACGGCAATAAAGATGGATAAAATTAAATTTTTGGTGCTGATAACATTGGAAAATAGCATTTTAAAATTTTAACAGCAACGTGTCTGTCAAGAAAAAATGTCCATTACTTTGGATAGTCCATAGTGCACACTACCAGGAGTTTTTTGGGTATACTATTTCTTCAGTAGAGAGTAGTTCAAAACAAAAGTTCACCTCTACTATAACAGATTGGCTGCAGAAATCTCAGAGACAGATATTGTAATAGCTGGACAAACAGGACCGACTCGATCCGCATGGCTTTATGTTAGTTTTGGGTGAATTGGTCCTTTAACTAATGTAGTTTAAGTTTAATTGTCTTATGGCTTCTCTTTTTTTTTTAACATGTTTGTGATGTGATTGAAAAAAACATTGCCAGCCCTGCAGCATCCCCTTCTCTCCACTTTAAAAAGCTAAGAATGTTTTTTTTTTTTTTGATAAATAGCTTTTGGAAAAAATTGCAAACCTGCTTTCTTTTGGGTCCATATGTTATACATTGGTAATGGCTTTTGGAAACTAAATAATGGAAGGTTAGATAGGCTGCAAACAGTGAATGCACAAGAATTCAGGTTGTTCACAGTCGACTGAGTTATCATCTAATAAATAGAGAGTGTTTGGTCCTTTTGTGCTTCACAGCCTGGCTCTGAAGTTGCTTCTATGTGATTTATCTTACAAACATTGCAAACAAGTGTGAAGGTGTTTTTACCACACCTGTGTTTACTTTTACTTAAAGGTTAGCTATCTTACAAATCTTAAAGGGCCCCTCCAGCTGAAACACAAAACTCCAACCATTGTCATGAGTGTATAATCCGTCCTATGATCTGCCTCCCACAGGTCCAGACGAATGCATTCACCGTGCTTTTTGATGAGCGCTTCTCCGTCCCCATGGACCTGTCCACTTTGGACGAGTACAGCCTGCGCTTCGCCGCGTTTGGTATCGATGCTGATGAGAGAAACATCAGCGCAGGAGTAGCAGAGCTCAAGCTGTCAGACCTGGACCTGACCATCAGACCATTCAATGCTTGGCTCTACCTCCAAGATGTCAATAAGGTGAATTACAATACAGACATGTGTCACAGGGTGCAACTGAATATGATATAAGTAATTACAGAAAAATAACTCTGATAAATTCTTTAGTTTGGGACTTCAAGCAGAGAGTATCTAAATATTGTCTGTCTTGTAATGTGTAAGACAGCACAGTGGGCTCTGAGACCCCCTGCTGGACATTCAGCCAAACTACATGTCAGATACACTAAAAGATAACCACGGGTTGAGTGGATTACTTGCAAAATGTGATGCATAACTGATGATGTTGGTAGTGGAGTCAGGTATAGTAAAAATAAATAAATAAATTTATACAATGGCCATCGAAAATATGTTGTTGTAAAAGTCGTATATTAGAAAATCCGTTACAATTGACTGTAATTCAAAGTAAGAGTTGGTGGTTACTGGGATTTGAAAAAAACAAAAAAGTGAATATATATATAAATATATATATATAAATAGATATATATCTATATATCTATTTATATTTATATACACAATTTGCAATCATATAAAATCATATCAACAGTACTGATCTTTTGAAGTCTCTGTCATCCTCATCCTACTATCCAAAACCAAAATACCTCTTGAAGTGTGTTGAACATCACATAATATGACAGATAACAGCTCAAGAATATTCATGAGTGTAGAGAATGGAGCGTGCCGCTGGAATAATTATAGGCTTTTAACATGTTTAATTATGATCAATTAATGGATTTAACATTTATAAAAAGCTATTACAACTTGACTGATTAAATTTGCATTTAAATGAAGCACAATAAAACGAAAGATCATTTAATCTGCCAATTATAATTTTTATTTCCTCATTCCATCTTACAATGATGATTTAACAATTGAATATGAAAATAGAATCACAAAATGTGAGGGTTTTGAATTTAAAATATTTATTCACATGTATGCCACTACATTGTGCTTTAAATGAAGCTCTCTTTGATTGAAAGATTATCAGTGTCACTCCTGCCAACAGATAAGTGGAAGGCGGTGGTTGGAAATTTGCTTTAGCATGACAGAAATCATGATTCTGTAAGTTCTGTCAAAGCATCACGCAGACTGACAGGTGACTGGTGACGATTACGAAATGTTTGACTCCGCAGGCTGTCGATGCAGTCGGGGAGATCCTCTTGTCTCTCAGCTATTTGCCCACAGCCGAGCGCCTCACTGTGGTTGTGGCCAAGTGCAAGAACCTGGTGTGGACCAGTGGCAAGAACACTGCAGGTTCGTTTGCTGTAGTGCCTGTTTATTTAAGTTGGAAATGTGAGTCGGTGTGATCCACCTCAGTGTGTGAGTGTCTTTGTTTGACCTATGCGCTGCATGAACACGTCTGTCTGTCTCCCTCTGCCATTAAATCTGTCTACATTTTTCTAAATGACTCACATCTCGCCACTGAACAAAACACTGAGTGACTCAGTAATAACAGACTCTTAATGCCAACTCCCAGAAGATGCATTTATCGTCACCCAGAAAGGCAGATGCGATTTAACAGACTTGTTCATCACATTAAATGTCCACATAAGTGCCACTCTAACATTGTACCGATAAAGGTCACCTACTGAAACAGTGTCATTATCGTCCGGGGAGCTAATTGTGCGTACATGACTGTGCTTCTAAATTGATCACTCTTTATTGAGGAGTTTATTGCCCTAAGTACAAACTGCATGAGGGGGTTTGTATATGTGTTTATGTGTATATGTGTAGGTTGTGTTTTAGAGGCCTGAATTCGGACATAATCTTACATTCGCTCATTCTCATTATCAGATCCGTTTGTCAAAGTTTACCTCCTGCAAGACGGGAGGAAGATCAGCAAGAAGAAGACTTCCACCAAGAGGGACGACACAAACCCCATCTTCAACGAAGCCATGATCTTCTCTGTGCCGTCCATCGTCCTGCAGGTGACACATGAGGCTTTGGCCTAAACTGTGTGGAAATGAGGAAATGATGAGATGAAAACTGATCCACAAGAGGAATTTAGGTCAAGGAAAAAGATAAGAAAGAGAAAATGTGATACCAAAAACAGAGACACAAACCGGCGTTGCCAATAGTAACCCAAGCAACAGTACTTGCATTGTTAAAGATACAAAAACAACATGAAAAGTTTTGCAATTAGATATGCTGGTGACAGTGTTACAACACGTTAAGCAGACTGCATGGATTTTGCAATATTGTTAGAATCATTAGTCACAATAGCTTTCAACGGTCAAACTCTCTCCTTTGGGTCTTATTTTATTGTACTAAATGTAAATGTTGTAAATGTATGGTGTGTGTTTTATGTGCCAGTGTAAAGTGCTCGTTTGTAAAAGAGATAAGGGCCTTCAAGAGATTTCCTGATTAAATGAAGATTAATTAAATAAAGATTAATATAAAATACAGATACAAAAAAACAAGAATAAGTATGGATAAAGGAGTAGCAACAAGAATAGTGAGGCTATTTTGAGCTAAATGTCAGCATGAAAACTTAATTTAGCATGAAGCTGACTGGAATATCAGGGCAGATAATACTGCACTATTTTCAAGGCAATCCATCTAGTAGTTATTGAAATATTTCAGTTTGGACTAAAGTGGTGGATTGACATAGAGACTGACATTGGCACCTCTACAGCCACACTATCAGTGTGACCAAAACTCCTAATAAAACATAACTATGACAACTGAAAATCTTCCTTCCAGTGTAAAATGCACCTTTTCAATGCATGGATCAGTCTATAAAAAAATTTGAATGCCCAAAAATGGAATTGTTCTTACACTTAAGAAAATGAGCGAAACAGTAATAAAATTAAATGTGATTAAAAGGTGATGAGGTTAAAATGCCAAAAGCAGTAAAAGTAGCAAATGCTGTTAGTGGATATGTTCATTGAACTGATTCCATAAAGATCTGGATGAGCCAAACTGTTAACAGAGACGCTGAGTCATGCTTGCATAGCAGATTGTGTAACCACGTCATGCTGTTTGCAGGAGCTCTCCCTGAGGGTGACAGTGGCAGAGGCCACAGAAGACGGCCGGGGCGAGAACCTGGGTCACGTGATCATCGGCCCAGAGGCCAGCGGGATGGGGATCACCCACTGGAACCAGATGCTGGCCACTCTGAGGAAGCCCGTCTCCATGTGGCACCCTCTGCGCAGGATCTAGTCCTGCCTGGCCTCGTACATACCAGACCTATTTCAAGTAAAACACTCGCCTCTTCATGTTCCTTTCAGCTCTCCCCTTGTTTGGTGCCATGCTCAAATCTGTTACACTATTTTAGTAAGATCATGGCCCACAGGAGGATACTGTGTGTGGTCTATGTCGTTTTGGTTGCATTTTTTCTAGTAAGTAATAACTTGGAGTAAACACCTTATCTTCATGTACGGGGGAGGAATCTGAAAAGCAAGTGTTTGACAAGAACTGGGTGTATCTGGGTATACGTGGATCAGTGATACGTTTAAATCCTTTCTTTCTAATTTCATTCTGGTTAGGATGCACTATGGCTGAGGGTGGTGTTTAGGAGGTCGTGTTCCAAACTACTCGAATAACCCACAGAAAGTCATTTATAAATCTGTGCTCCTACATTAGTGAGTCATGCTTTTGGTTTGAGAATTGTTGAGAATTGATGATTATGATTCCCTCTCAAAAGTCTTGATGAGAAATTTCAGTTTGGACTTTGAAGTCAGTTTAAATTAGGAAAAGGTGACCCCCCCATTCCCCACCCCCCACCCCACCGAGACCCACCCCCTGCATGGTGCCTACTCTGGTTGTAGCCTATTATAGCTGTCTAGAAAATGAACTGAACTTGACTGGAGGGGTGAGATCCCTTCACTTTCAGGAAAACTCTCATTTGTCTTTTTCAAACCGGTCATCGATTGCGCCTACGTGATTGATTTCGTAGCGGTTTTAAAGCCGAGTGGAGTTAGATCTATTAGATTTGCTTGTGTAATTTGTTAACAGTGAGACTCACAAATAATGGAGGTTTTGGTATGTTCAGTATTTATTGTGCTTTTGGAAAAATAAAAGAAAAAAAATCCAGGTACTCTTATCCAGGTGAAATAATTGTAATTTGTAGCAGTTGTTACAGGGTGGCCAAATCAGATGTAATCAGCATATAAATATCATATTCTATTTTTACCATAATTAATGCAATACCAGTTGCATAAGCATAATTAACAGTGTAAATAGTGTACTACAACAGTCTTGTCATTGCCATTTTTTCCTCTAAATTCTGGATGCAAATCATGTTTTTCATGTATCACACTTTAATAAACATCAAACTCCAAGGTCATTTACACAACTCTATATTTAACACAAATATCCTTGCTGATCGATCAATTAATATTAAAACACCTCTGGGAATTTAACGCGTGATGTAAAGTATACTAACCCCTTTAAATGGGTTTACACTTTCTTTTATGTTAGAGGAAACACCTTGGCGTTCTGACTTAAATCTATAGTTCTTTTTCTCCAGGCCCTTGCCACAATTATTTTAGCTTTTGTCGTTAAGATACCTGCAAACTTCCTGCCAGCAGAAGCCAACTGGGCCCCTTTGCAGCTTGAAGTTTGACAGGTAATATTGCTAATATGAAGATAATGTGACAAGAGCCTTCTAAAAGTCAGAATGTCAAGGTGGATTTTTATCCGTCTGAGATATTCTCTAAAACATTGTGCAATAGTGCTGTTTTTGTTGTAACTTCTGAATGTGAATTATCATGTGAAATATCTGCTTACTCTTAAAGTATCATCAGCCTCATGCATTGTTGTGATTTTTGTTTTTTCTTTTTCTTTTTTTTCAGCAGAAACTATTCTCTTCTGTTCTGACCACACTACTAACCTCACTTTGAAAATCAGTCCAAAAATAACACACCTGTGGTGGTCATGTAATAGACAATATTTCCTACTGTGCCAAATAATGAAGCAATATTTTCATTTACAATCAGCATTTGCATTTGATTCAACAAAGCTGTAGCCTACATTCACCCATGCATGAAGTTATTTAGCACTTGATGTGAATGTGCCTCAAGAATACAGTGTATTGTGTGAATGCTGTTTGAAATAAAAGCAATTCAACAGTAACTGTCTGACCACTTGTTTACCTTTGTTAGAATCTGAGAAGAGAAAAAAAAAGAAAGATGTCTCACTTTCCCTTTTTTCTCTGTACTACAAAAGTCATCTTGAAGACCTGCAGAGGAAAAAATGTAGACTGAAATTTGTCCTTTATACTGAGGATTATTATAGTGTTTAATGGTATATAATTGTACGGGACCTTACAGTAAATTTACATTTATGCAGGATAAAATGACAATAAGATTGTACCTCACTGCATCAGTTTAATCAGCTAAAATACAGTAAACTAAATTGTCAAATTGTTTTAGTTTATATTGAGCTCATTTGTTGTAAAGTTGTGTTTTATCAAATTGCTTCTGTTTTTTGCTTTGAATTAATTAATTAACACATACAAAACCTTGATCAAGGTCATATTATTTTACCACAGGAGAACTGTAAGGCTGCAACCAACGATTATTTCCATTAACAATACATATGAAATTAAATTCATTAATATCTGATTTATTTTTCAATGTATATAATGTCAGAAATAATGTAAAATGTAAAAAACTATGGATTTACATATTCAAATAGCTTGTTTTTATGTGACCAACAGTCAAAAATAGAGAGATGAAGAGTTTACTATTACAGCAAACTGGGAAAACTTGTACCTTTTAAGAAGCTTGTGCCAGCGATTTTTTGTCTTCTCTTTTGCCTAGACGAGATCTAGGGTAAACAGGCGGTTTTCCTACAAGGGCTGTGTAGTTATTTGCACATTGAACCTGTTGAGAAAACTAAGCCAAAAAAAACAGTAACAACACTGCATCATGTAAAGACAATATACGATCTTTGTTTTGATGCTTTTTTTTTTCCCCTCTTGTCTCAAAAGTAGGTCAGTTTCCTCCTTTCAGCCAACCAGAGGAGAGGGGCACACGGGGGGCGGGGTCATATCGAGCAAGGTCCAGGAAGAATTTTTCAGGCATCGGGATAAAACGATAGCGCGTTTCTCCGCAACATCTCCTGCACAGTCCAAACGTCTGTTAGCACTGACCCGTCGAGATGGCTGACAACAGAGATAAAACTACCGATCAAATGAAGATATGGAAGGACAGCAGAGCCTCTCAGGTCTGTATATGCCCCACATTTGCTGTGCAGCGCTGCCTAACTTGGGGTAAATGGGTGAGAGGTCGTTCGGGGTAACAAGCTAACGTTAACAACCTCAACATAAAGATAGCTTGTCGCTCAAGCTAACGTTCAACACCGAAGAATGATTTTGCAGACATGTAAATAAAAGCTTTCCTAGTAGGTCTGTGCTAGGTTAACTGTTTGTATTGTGACCGTTTATAACCGTTATTATTGTAACGGACTGTCCACCAAACCCACCAACAGTCGCTTGCTAACTTTACAGGCTAAACTGGCCTCTCAAAGACATCACATAACTTAACCCAAACTGTTTCTCAGTAAATAAACACAGATGAAAACCCTTTTAGGTGAGTAAGTTAGTGTATAGATATGAAGTGGGTCATTGTCCAGAGGCATGTTTGTGGCTGAACTTTAACCCTGTCAGTTATGTAACCAGAACACAACAGTGCAAACAGCTAGCGTCAAGTAGAGTTCACCTTCTGAAAATAATTTACAGCTGTGAAAATAATGAAGACTGTATCAGTTTAATTTTGGTTTAGTTCATGTGATTTTCAGCTCATTAATTTTGGTGAAGTTTAAGTTTATTTATTTTTTTGTTGATGCAACGCTGCCGCCATCAGTGTCATGCTAGTTGCAGAAATATGATTGCAGTTTTCTAAGCATTATAGATATAAGGGTTAATAGCAACAGTTTTGAGTGAAGATTTGCTGCTTTATTTGTGTTTCATTTTAAATTGAATTTTCTTTGGCTTTATTTCTACCAAAACAAACCGTTGAAGAAGTCACCTTGGGCTCTTTTATGGCCATTTTCCACTTTTGGTGGCATTTTATAGATTAAATAATTAATCAAATCATAATCAACAGTTTTATTAATAAAAAAATAATTGTTTGTAGAAGCCTTGTTTGTGGTAGATTGTGATACATGCACACAGGAAGCTCTTTGTAATTGACCTTACATATGTTTGTTTTTTTAAATTCTGGTGTTGTTCACATCAGAGGCCAGACACGCTGACCACAGGGGCTGGCCATCCTGTTGGAGACAAGCTGAACCTGCAGACTGCAGGACCCAGGGGTCCTCTGCTAGTCCAAGATGTGGTCTTCACAGACGAGATGGCCCACTTTGACAGGGAGCGAATCCCAGAGAGAGTGGTGCATGCCAAAGGTGCAGGTGAGTGTCAGACAGTGATCAGTTTCTCCTGCGTAGCTAGCTCTGTGTCACCTCTATGGCGGCTACATAAGGTGAACATTACACAGTAAAGGTGCTACTATGCTATAGTAGTAGTAGTACTACAGCGATTTTGTAATTGTCAAACCACAGGAATTTTATTCATTCATTCATTCATTCATTTTCTACCGCTTATCCTCTAGTAGGGTCGCGGGGGGGCTGGAGCCTATCCCAGCTATATCCTGATTATTTCCTTTTACAAAAAGGATATTGTTGCTTGTTCCAACAGAAGTAAATGACAGAAAAGTAGGAAAAAAAGCATATGAGGGTGTTTCTTGTTTGTGGATTAGCTCCAGTCAAATGCTAATCTTTGCAAGCTTTTCAGATCAAGGTCATAGACAGGGCAGATATTGAACAATTTATTTGTTATCCTACTCTGGAGGGAGCTGCATTCTTTCTAGGGCTTGGTGATATAGAATAACACCCAGGTAGCTGCCAGCTATTGAAACCAGACATGACTAAGCTGATATAAACAAAGACATGTACTATCATTTCCCTCCATCATGCAGGGGCGTTTGGCTACTTTGAGGTGACGCATGACATCACCCGCTACAGCAAGGCCAAGGTGTTTGAGCATGTCGGCAAGACTACACCTATCGCTGTCCGCTTCTCCACTGTGGGTAAGAATAAACTGCAGTGTCTTCAAGTATGATTCATACCTTATCATTGTTTTATTATTATTATTATTACATTTTCTTCTAAAACATCCATCTAGAATTCTTTTTAAGGATGAGATATATTTTCTGATTTTATGTTCTCACACATTGTCTTGGTTCTTGCTGCTGATGTTTGCTGCAAACATAGAATAAGCTTGTAGAAAGATGAAGAGAAAGATAGGGAGAAAACACAAATGAGCTGAAGATTATGCAAATCCTTTTATCCAGTTTTTTTTGTAGTTTTTACCTCAACTTTGTATCATTGATTTCTCTCTGATTTTAAACCTGTACCGTCTTTTTTTTTTTTTTTTTTTTGTGGAAGAAGTGGGTTGGAAAATGCTCCTCTGATGCAGCTGCTATTATGTCGAGATAACATATGAGCTTAATACAGTGGTCCTCAGGTGGTGTATTTGCTTCATGTCTGTCTGCTGAATCCTCCCTCTCTCATTGTGCTGCCCCCATAAAAACTTTGTGTTTAAGTATACGCCGATGCATACTCGCTGCCACAGCAGAATACCCACGTTGGCAACATGGTGTGAAGACAAGTTGAGAGCATGTCCTGTTATTAATATATTAAATTCTCAAATATTTTTATCTGCTCTAAATTATGTATTTTAAAGTATCAAATGAGTAAAATTAGTCATTTTAAAAAAAAAAAGTATAATAAGGACACTTGTAATTTAAGTATTGGCTACTTTTATGGTTGTTGGTTGTATGAAACTGGCACCACACTGGTTATCTCTCTTCAACAGGTGGGTTGTGCCCTGAGCATGTTAGTTTGGCACATTCATTGGCTCGGATGGCTAAGAAGATTAGTATGAGTGTTATTGGAAGGTGCATGATGCCACTCTCACTTTGCACTTGCAAGAATATTTTAGAAAATTGCGCTAATTTCATCAGATGAGATTACAGTTACAAACACCACCCGTTCCCCTCTAACTCAGACTAAAATATTCAAGTCCAAGGTGATGTCTTCATACGTCTTATTTTATCTGACCAGAAGTCTAAAACTCAGAGATATTAGTTTAGTATAATATAGGGCAAGGAAAAGCTACATTTGAGAAGCTGGGTACCATCACAACATTTTAGTGTTTTTACTTGAAAAGTAACTTAAATGATTAATTGACTTTGCCAATCATTTTTCTGTGAATCAACTGGTCATCGAGGCCCTTTAATTTACTTTAAGTTTAGAACAATCTGTGTGCAGTGCTGACATATTAATTCACTAATATACAAGGAAAATGTCATCTCTCATTTGCATTTAATTCCAGCGGGGGAGTCTGGATCAGCAGACACAGTGCGAGACCCCCGGGGCTTTGCAGTCAAGTTTTACACTGAGGAGGGCAATTGGGACCTGACAGGCAACAACACCCCCATTTTCTTCATCAAGGACGCCCTGCTGGTGAGTGGGCCTCGGGGATGTATGAGCCAGATGAGTGGCACAATGCTATAGCTGAACAGTCTGTAGTTTTCTCTCAAACATGAAGTAGTAGAAGTAGTTTCATCAGTTGAATGCATTCCAGAGACTACATATGTCCTTCTGCGAGATGAATATGATCAGAAACACATTTTTAAATTTTCACATTTTTGTCAACATGAATCAAGTTATTAAACATATCACATTGACCTGTGCCTTGTACCCCATGCAGTTCCCGTCCTTCATCCACTCCCAGAAGCGCAATCCCCAAACCCACATGAAAGACCCTGATATGGTGTGGGACTTCTGGAGCCTGAGGCCTGAGAGTCTGCATCAGGTAGCTGCTGCTGAGCCTGAGGCTGTTCTTGAAGGCAATGTCTGTTCAAGTGTACAGAGGAGAATTTCAAAAAGAAAGATGAATTAGTTGATGGAACTTGACGTGATTTAAAATAGAAACCAAATATTCTGAAGTAATTTAGTGTTGCAGTGAACTGTTGCTCTCGCATTATTCGGAAGGATTTACCTCATTGTAATTATACTTGAAGTAATAGTTTGATGGGTTAATGTCAACATTAGTTGCAACAGAAATATCATTATCTTGTCTTCTGTCCCGTATCTTGTGTGCAGGTGTCTTTCCTCTTCAGCGATCGCGGTTTGCCTGATGGCCACCGTCACATGAACGGCTACGGCTCTCACACCTTCAAACTGGTCAATGCTGATGGAGAGCGCGTCTACTGCAAGTTCCACTACAAGGTCTGTTTGAGCTCAGGTGAACTTTATTGATCTACCTCCTGGGATTTTTCTTTTGCTATTGCTTAGTTCTGTGTTGTGTTTTTTTTTTTTTTTAGACTGATCAAGGAATAAAGAATCTGTCAGTGGAGGAGGCCGACCGGCTGGCAGCCACCAACCCAGATTATGCAATTGGAGATCTATTTAATGCCATCGCCAATGGTAACTTCCCATCCTGGACCTTTTACATCCAGGTCATGACCTTTGAGCAGGCCGAGAGGTTCCAGTTCAACCCCTTCGATCTGACCAAGGTACAGCATCCCTCCACAGCAGTGCATTCTGGGTTATGAAGTTGAAAAAAAAAACCCACCAGATGCAGTTGTATGCAGAGTACTTAAATGTGTTTATTGCATGGAACTATTGACATTATCACAGGTGTGTTTGCATTATTTGCAGTTTTGACTGAAACTCCCGTCAAGACACTGGGTGATAGATTTGACGAAGAAAAGTAATAGTAAGACAGTTGATGGGAATTATTAAGACAAAGGCATATTTGTGAAAATTTCTGTGATGCCAGTGAATGCCATTATCCATCAAAAAATAACAAATCAGCAAAAAAATTATTTGTCAAACAAAACCTGGTTAGTTGTTAGTGGGAGAAGCCCTACTAACTGATTACAACTTGGAGAAATATCTTTTTCACAGCTACAATGGTGAGGACAAATTTGGAAAAAAAAAAACTTGATCTTGGCAGTCACAAGATCACACTTTGGACTGTGATCATGGCTTTACTAAATTATGATTTTTTCACCATCCAGCAAATAGAATAAAGTGTGGCATTTTTTTGTGGGCAGCATCAGATAACTAGTTTTGAATATTTATATAAATACGAAACCGGGGAAAGCTCAGAAAGGTCTTGTGTACATGACAAATACTTCCCTGGGTGTGTCACTTCAGTATTTTTTGGCTAATGGAATATTCTCTTTCAGGTTTGGTCACATAAAGAATACCCGTTGATCCCCGTGGGCAGAATGGTTCTCAACAGGAACCCAGTCAACTACTTTGCAGAGGTGGAGCAGCTGGCCTTTGACCCCAGCAACATGCCACCAGGCATTGAGCCGAGCCCCGACAAGATGCTGCAGGTAATGCCACAACAGATTTTCTCTTGACATTTTTTTCAGTGAGACTGAAGTGAAATAAATAAATAAATAATTAAACTGTCTATAAAAAGTATAATTTGCTGCCGGTATATCTAAATGTGCATTACCATAAAGCACATCAAAAGACAAATTCCTAAGAGTTTGTTCATATAAGCTGGTGGAACTTCTCTCTTTACGGTTTTTCATTTGTTACACAACTATTCGTGGCACCTTTCATGTGAAACTGTGCTGTTATCCCCATTTTTTACAATAAAATTGACTCTCCAGTGGAACAATGCTCTGTCTTCTCCCATTCCTTTGTCTAGGGTCGTCTCTTCTCCTACCCAGACACACATCGACACCGGCTGGGAGCCAACTACCTGCAGATCCCCGTCAACTGCCCCTTCAGGGCCCGTGTGGCCAACTACCAGCGTGATGGTCCGATGTGTATGTTTGACAACCAAGGTAAGTCATAGTCCAGCCTGTGTGTCTGTTTCCTTGTGCATGCAATAACAAGGACGGACACAAATGCTTAAGTCTTCGAGCAGGAGGTGTGGCTCAATAATGAATCTTTTTTTTAACATGTATAATATTGTGATATTAGTTAGTTAGATATAAGTGTCAAGCCTGTATGGATACACATTTGTATAGTCAGCCTCAGTGTTTAAGAGCAGCTCTGTAGATTCTATTTAAGAATGGTCTGTTTTTGTTATATAAGCTTTATTTAACAAAATATCAATAATAGCAATGAGACCCTTACATTCTGACAAATTGTGTGATCATTGTCTTGGATTCAATCTCTCCATACAAATGTAATACCAATGGTTGACCAGAGAGTATCGCCATTTGCATATCTTTTGCTCGTCTCAGTAAAGTATGGTGCAGAATTTTTCTCACTACCTGACTCACCAGTGTTTGGTCTGTCTGGCCTCCAGGTGGAGCTCCAAACTATTATCCCAACAGCTTCAGTGCCCCAGAGACCCAGCCTCAGTTTGTGGAGTCCAAGTTCAAGGTGTCTCCAGATGTGGGCCGTTACAACAGTGCAGATGAAGATAATACCACACAGGTAGATATAAACTCACAGGCTCTTTTATCGGCGTGTTTCTATGGCCAAGCCATTTGTGCCACACTTCCTGGCTGTACAGAGCATTAAGGTGACCAGCACATAAAGACCAGAAGTCCATGGTTTTGCTGGCAAGCATCTCTCTTGCATGCTTCATTGCTGACTTACTTGCTTAAACATTTACAAGTCACAAAATTGTTGTCCAATTGCATAAGCTGTGTCTTTAAATATGGGGGCAGTTCTCCTGATTGAGGTATATGGCACCATCTAAAACCTCACTCTGATTTCATCAAATACTGTAAAACTGTCAACTCTTCACTAGTTATATAAATACAAATTACATTTTTCTTATCAGTACAGCAATCAATTTAAAAGCAAATACTAATGAATTATTTTAAAGAATTATCAGAAGCCCCCCCCCCCACAAAATCCATAAATGTCTCAACTGGATAAATATTATTTTGTCAGGATTGTCAGCATAATAAACTATGGCTTCAGCCTCAGCCCCTTTAGTCATCTTTTTTTCTTTCTCTCATAGACTCATTATTCTGTTTGAAGGTTTGTTTTCAGTTCAATTATTATTAAAAAGCTTACACTAATCAAGGCTTTCATATAAATTGATGTGTTGCTCATAGTGCCAAACCTACAGCATCATCACCCAATCGAATTTTTTCAAACTGCCATTCCTATATGTAGTGCACTGAAATTAACCTCATTTTGTGTGATCCACTTTCATCACCTGATCACATCAGCCTGTCTTTGTGTTTGATTGCAGGTGTGTACCTTCTACACCCAAGTGCTGAACGAAGAGGAGCGCCAGAGACTTTGCCAGAACATGGCAGGGGCCCTGAAGGGAGCCCAACTCTTCATCCAGAAGCGCATGGTGAGTCCACATCACCTTGTAGGATCCACTCAGGGCAAGAATGATGGTAAACTATCAGGTTGTTGAACAGATTGCATGCATTCAGAGATGCAGCACAATGAAACCACAGGATGTAGCTTTTGGAAACACCAAATGTACCAGGGCTCTGTGGTTATGTAGGTGTAAAGAAAATGTTTTTCTATAACCCAGTTCATACCCAGGGTGCTTTACAAATAATAAAACCTTAAAGGAATTTAAAACACACTTTAAAAGATTCCAAAGAAAATGTTAGTGTAGAGGTTAATACTGATATAGAAAGTAAAATAAAGACAAAAGAACAACATAAAATCAATAAACACATTAGAGGGTAGCAGGAAGCTTCGATTGTCTGGTAATTAGTCCCAGAATTAGGCACTGACAGTGTAGTTACTGGATAAATCTTGCTGATCTTTGATCCTGCTATCAGAACAGTGAGCATTTTCTTTTTTTCTTTATTATTTTTTTTATTTGAAGAGGGCTGGCTGTTTTCTGTGTTGTACAAGCAGATAAGCTGTATATTTGGGGAAGATCTTAATTTTCCTTTTGTTGTGTACTGTTGGGAAAAGTGACTTTAGTCATCGATGACGAGGAGTTATTAATCTGGCCAATGCACCGAATCAGTTTTTCAACAGGAAGAAAATTGTCATGGGAAAGTGTGTGCAAAGTTTATATGCATAATTGAATAATTATCATAGAAAATGTAGTTATTGTAAATAATAACAGCACAACAACAGAAGCACAGTAACCAAATTCTTCACCTATGGTCCAGATATATTGGGTTGGTATTTATTGCATTGGTCCAACACAGTACCCTACAGAGAACCACCAGATATTTTCAAACTTACAAAATAACATAATGGTAATTTAAATATTACGTAAGTTTCCATCCAGACATTTAGTTTTATTTTCTCACATGCCTCCTTTGCCCACCCCCTCTGCCAACAGTTCACAGCCACATGAACCCCTGTGGCTTTGTGCAAAGGTGGGTAAAGATTTTGCTTCGCTAGCTTTTGTGCTTTATTTTGCACTGTGGTCATGTCACAGTTTTTCACTTCACATGAAAAACATCCACCAAATGTTGGTTGGTTGAAACTCTGTCAACCCTCAGAAAGGCTTAAATTGGATGTTGGGGAACTGAAAACTTGTCTTCATTGCTTAGGGATTGGGATTTTATTCTATAACAATAAATTACAAAAAAACACAACTATTAAAAACATAATTAAGGATTATTAATTAACACTTAAAACAGGGGCCGAATAATCAATCCACCAACTGTCATCACATTCTGATTCATCATAAATCCTGATTGGTGTACAGAAGTACGTGACAACAGCTTTTTTTAAAAGAGCCTGTACACTTCAAAGTGAGAAGAGCACAGAGGAAAAAAGAAATCTCTCATGAGAAATATGGTTCTAATTTTGGCAGATGGTACATATAGTGAGAAGCTGTTGCATTTCAGTGCCTTTAAATTTCATTGTCTGTCTTCCTGCAGGTGGAGAACTTGAAGGCTATCCATCCAGACTATGGAAACAGGGTTCAGACACTTCTGAACAAGTACAATGCAGAGGCCCAGAAGGTAAACACAGTCCCTGTCCAGCTGAACATAGAGTTTCCATCCAGTGTTAAGTGGTACAATATCCTACAGATGCTACCAGGGATGCTCATTTTGAATTTTTTTTCTGACCTATAGCCGACGCTCGTTAACCGACAAGATCAAAATGTACTATTTAGAATGGAATGCCGATTATAAATGTTTTGTTTTTATCAAGGGGTTTATTTTTACACTTGCAGAACCGTCATAATAGCCTAGATCTCCTGTGTAGGAAAATATTATATAAATTAAAATAAATAGCAAATAGTAGCCAGACTTTCTAATGTATAAATAGTTTAACAAAACAAAAACACACATGGAATCCTCCAGCACAGAGAGCGCTGTAAGGAAAACCTCCTCCTGAAGTGACAAAGGTGGAGCCATTTAACACTTCACTGAACTTCAAAGATAATTATAGATAAGGGATGGGATTTAGCCTCGTGGTGAGATCACACTAAATACCGAAATTTAATAAATTGTAAAGTTATTAAATGATAGACAACGGGCACATTGCTCACAGGACCCATTTAAAAATCAGGGGTTTCTAGTGTCAGTTTTTCATAATGACAGCAGTGAATTGTTAATTGTTATGCTGTGCATATTCTGGACATTAAAATAGCTGATCCCATCTTTCTCTCTTTTCCTCTTTGTTTTCCTCAGAGCTCAACAGTGCGTGTTTACAGCCGTCCAGGAGCCTCGGCCATTGCTGCGTCCTCCAAGATGTGATGCCTTAAATGTCTGTCAGGGGCAGCCCTCCTCATTTCTCTGACAAAAAATGCACTTATATGATAACAACTGCTACTACCAGTAACAAGAATAGACATTACTCGATAAGACTGAAATACTAACCTTGTATTGTCAGGGTTAGTTCATTTTTTAATTCAATCCAAATAATAGATTTTCTTCAAAATGTGTGTTAAAAACCAGATGAGGTAAATTTATCTTGATTGAACAACCATTTAAAAAAAAAAAAAGCCATTTACCACGTATAACGCCTTGAAAGTAATTTAAATATTTTATTTTGCGTTTTGATTTTATAGCGTTACAGGAATTAATCCCAACTGCTGTGTAGTATTATAATGAATGATGATTGTTGCCTATAATTCCTCAGGTTGTGTGCATACTACTATGTTGTTATGATCCAAATCTTTTCTGTAGTTAAAATGTAAAGAAAACAAATCCAAATCCAGCTGTTCAAAATTCCTTCTTCTGAACATTCAAAAAACATTTGTAAAAACAAAAATCTTGATTGAAGTTGGTAAAATACCTGGATTTGGTATGCAGGATTAGCTTGTTTGGACAATAATGAGTTTTGGCAAGTTTTCTTCATGCTTGACTGAAACTGACAGTAAACAGCAGACAGGAATTCATTATGAAGAGTAGGATATTGAAATTAAGGTTAGTAGAAATGGCAATGAGAAATCTCTTCATAATCATTTCATTTTGGCTGTCTGAATGTCTCTTGAGCAAGTTTCAAGATGAGATATTTACCTTACAACTAAAACCCTCTTCTGTGCCTTTTTTTTGTACAAAAACTACAAAACATAGGTGACTTTAATCTGAAATAATCTGTTATGAATTGCTCTATTTAGACAAAAATTTAGCCAGTTGTTCACATGAGATTGTACATTAGTGCCATTAGAAAAATAACGTCAGAAGATGTAATTTAGTGGTAAATCTACAGTGACTGAAGTTCTAATCTGAAGTTAAATGGTCACAAAGTTTGGAGAGAAACCCAGTTGTTTCCAACTGACCTCAAGTTTAAAAATATCATGTTGGTCATGTTCATCCTATGAAGAGACCACACAGCTCCCCAACAGGATGCAAACACACTCAAATCAAACATATCACCGTCCAAAATGAATTGTCCATGTAACCTGCTATTATGTTTTTCTAAGCTGTCAAATGTTCTCTGAATGTAAACTGATTCTATTTTTTTTTTTTTTTTTTTTTTTTAATTAATGTTCAAGTTGTAAAGCTCTTTCAGATGAGGTGTGTAATCAATGCCTGTTTTAATTTGTAATCAAAGCTTATCAGCAGCTTTCAAATGTCTCCATTTCCTCTGGTCTAGCTGTCGTTTTAGAGCACGTTTGCATCGTTGTGGATCTTTCACTACAGTGTGTGAAATGAAGTTGAAATATCATTGAGCTGCAGTTTGATCAAATAGCAGCACAACAGATTTAAACTGACAGTGGGTTTCCTGCTAACACTGCAGAGCTTTCTGTTCTTCAGTTGTCTGCTGGCCTAAAGCCAGCCTCCTGTAATCTTCTAGTACACCAACACACACCAGCTTCTGAACCGCTGGTTTCAGTTTTCTTCTCATCGAGATGTATCTCATGCTACATCAACACCCGACCAAGATCAGGTCTGTGTTCCAAATCCATACTGCAGTACATGCTAATTCTATGAATTATCTACACTTGGTGATATACTATTTCAGCAGCAATCAAAGATATCAAAATACTTTACCATTTTATGCTAACAGGAAATAATACGATATGTGGGACATATGATGTACATCAAACAGCTTTTTTTTTTGGGGGGGGGGGTTAAAGCTGTGGCCACCACCCACAATCCATTTATTTATTTATTTGTTTCAACTCCCCCATTTCCTGCCCACAGGTACAATGCTGGGTTGTGACAGTAATTTAAACATAAACCAAACGGAAATTTTGACTTGATGCTTGGTGCTGTGTGTAAGTAAGAGGATCATCAAAGTATATTGCAATTCAACCTGGATCCTGCCAAATTTTGTGCCAGTCCATCACATAGATGTAGTTGTCAAGAAGGTTAAGTGAAAGCTTTGACATGCTGGTGGTGCAACAGGAAAATTCATTTGTATTCATCCTCTGGGGAACACAAATGTTTTGTACAAAATTACATGGTAATCCATCCAGTAGAGGCTGAAATAGTTCAGCCTGGACCAACAGACCAACGCTGCAGTGACCTGCACATCCTATCCTCCCAGTGCTGATGACAAACACAGTCATTAGCCTGCCAAGGATAAGTAAACGGTACACAGGCCAATGACTGGATGGGAGACATCATGATATTGACATGAAACCAATAGATCATAATGGGAAGGGTATGGAAGTGTGCTCTCACCATGTGTTTGTACAAAAAGAACCATAAGAAGTTGTACTTTTGACTATATTTTGGTTACTCTTTCAGACTAACTCAGGTCTTTGTGATGCTAATAAAGACCTTTATTCCTCTGAAAATGTGCCTCTGATTTCCGCAAACAAGCAACCAATTGTGGTCAGTTTGCTTATGTCTCATTGGCTTTTAACAGAAGAAAAATAGGCCTGTGCCAACCCCAGAAACCTTTAAAAGGAAATCAGTATCATGTCGACAGTAACACTTTACTTCTTACACACCATTCTCCACTCCAAACTACAGTTGAGCTCACAGCGATGAATCCTGTTGGGCTGAGGCTTTCCCATTGCAGGTGGGGCAGTGCAGTGTTCCCCCTGGACAGCCTGGGGGATCTGTAGCGGTTCAGTACACCGCTGTGAATGTCATCGCTGAGCCCCCTAAAGACTACATCATCTGGTCCCTCTTCTCCTTGGTCTACTCCAACCCGTTCTGCCTTGGGCTGGTGGCTCTCATCTATTCTGTCAAGGTGAGTTCATGTGTGACAGTTATGAATTGCTTATGAATTCTGTCACTCTTGTACCAGTCTTGTGTTTTGGCACATTTAAGTGGAAGAAATGAGAATTTTAGCAATATCTAACAATACCGGGAGTATTTTACACTTTATTAATATCTAACAATCTTATTGCACGTTTAGGCCTTTTCCTCTATAGAAACTTAATGACATGTAACTTGACATGTCCTTTGTCACAGATTCTGCTTTTGTTTCACTCCCCCTGCTTTGGGGACGAGTTCCTGAACGAAAAATTCAGTTCTGCTCATTATACTGAATATCAAATTAAAGTTCCCGGCACTCTGAGGTGAAAGAAATGCTACACGGCAAACACTGTAATTAATAATCGGGGACATGTTTAGATAAGCACTGCAAGGAAGTGTGTTTTGGTACACACGTAATACTTTGCTTTACAAAATCCAAATCATGTTTTGCCATGTTATGCATTTACCTGTGTAAACTGTAGATTGTATGGACAGTGTTGGGGAATATGTTTCTAGTTTCAATACATTTTCCAGTAAGGTTCAGATTGCGCAGTTACTTCCAAAATCATTCAACATTTACAGCAGTAAGCTATTTTTTTTTCCACTGAATGGCAGGGCAGTGCACCAAATGCTGCATCATTACACTTCAGTTTCCTATTAAGAAAAAAAAAAAGCTCTGAGATGATTGCACTTTGTCCTGCCAGGTTCTTCACCTTCATCTTCCCGTCTTCCTCTTAAGGGTTGATGGTACAGAGCAGTGTGGATGGTAGAGCAGCAACTTCAGCACCACAGAGCTGGTAGGCTGGTGTCGGCCACACGTTTGTGACCTGCAACTGCAGATTGGGCCTCTCTATTCATTTATTCATACTGATAACCATGAAAGAAAAGAAAAAAAAAAAAAGATAAATTACAAGAGATAATTGTAGGTACACTCAGCTACCAAATGGTGCATGAAAATGACATTTGTCAGTTTGAAGTGATGTTGCCTCTTTCGATGACATCTATTAAAAAGTGTTCTTGCTTGTAAAACACGGAGAAAAAAAAGGGCAGAAGCTCGAATCAGATCATTACGGGTTCTTAAAAGTTCAGCTCCAGATTATGGGTTAAGTTCCCGTAGTGCAACAGGGCTTTTTCAGGTTTATTTTCTAGCAAACCAGCAGTAACATCTACCTCTAGATAGATGGATAGATAGATCTATCCATCTATGACCGTGACAAGAATCATCATTCAGAGAAATTACAGTTGAGAGGCGAAGAATATTCTTCACTTCAAGATGTTGGATATAATCATGCTTACACATGTGCACACAAATGGAGATTTTATGAGATGTGCTTTTGTCTTTTCAGTCCAGAGACCGGAAGGTGGCTGGAGACCTGGAGGGTGCCCGAAGCTACGGCACCTCTGCTCGCTTCCTCAACATTGTGGCAATTGTCCTCAGTGCCACTGGTTTTCTTATGTTCATTGTTATATATTGTACACTATATTATAATATAAATCGCCATTACTACTGAGACTAAATTTCAAATATTGTTAGGGATGCCTGCTGCTGTGGCTTGGTGATACTTCTCTCCTTTACGCTCATCGCATAATTTTAGCTGATCCTCAAGCAACAGATACTTATTTATGTTGCAAAAGCCTTTAATGGAATTTATCCATGTTTCAAGTCTGCATGCCGTACTTTCTTATGAAAGTCACAGTTCCTGTCTGATTTCCTGCCAGCTGTTTCATTTGTCAATAAATTAAAGTTTCACTTCACAGTGTGCTTCTGAGATTTTATTTTCCACAATTACAGTGCTACACTTTCACTGTGTTACCATGTACAGTGTGTAATTTTGATTGACTAAAAACTTTTTATTTTAATGTGCAGTTTGATCAATTAGAAGTAATCTGACATGAGTGGGGCTTCATCTCTTCAGTACTTATATCAGTCATTATATCTTTACCAGCGTCTGTTTTGTAAACCACTGGGTAACTGCTGGCCTGTTCGCTTTGGGATCCGACCTTCTGCAATTTTCTAGTTGACACACAGGTATCAGCATTTGTTTCCACGCTGCTTTCAGTTTGTCTGTGTTTAAAGCTATTTGATCCAGACATATCTCACTGTACACCATCACCCCTAGAAAAAAAAAATAAGGCCATTGAAACATCCCATCAGGCTGCTCTTCTTTTGCAGGTGACAAATGTGACAGTTGGGGAGGACAGTGGCCTAATGGTTAACACATAAGAGCAACATCAGTGGTCATATTCCTGGCTGGGGGACCTGTGTTGCATGTAATAACCTTCTTTCTCCCTTTTCACATTTGTTATCTTCTACATGTCAGTTGCCAAATAAATGCAACCCTCACCCTGACCCACAATTTAAAGGAAGGCATAATGGACAGACTGTGCCGTATTTTGAACTGAATCTGCAAAAAGTCATGTACTGCATGTTTTTCAACAGCCAACACAAGTGTGCTGTGTTTTCTTTTGCTCGCTGGTCTTTGGTGGAAGAAACCCCAAAACCTTCAAAGGGAAGTCAACGCTTACAGTGACACTTAAGTTCTTGCACAACCACCTGCAGCTGCCACTCTAAACTGCACTTGAGCTGAGAGCAATGAATCCTGAAGGTCAACCAGCCGAGGCTGTCCCATTGCAGGTGGGGAGGAATGACGGGCCCCCTGGACAACCTGGGACATCTGCAGTGGTTAAGTACACCACTGTGAACATCCCCACGGAGCCCCCTCCAGACCACATCATCTGGTCCCTCTGCTGCTTTGCCCACTGCAACCTGTGCTGCCTCGGACTGGCTGCTCTCATCTATTCTTTCAAAGTGAGTTCATGTGTGACCGTTGCCTGTTTAAAAAAAAAGAAAAAAGAGTTTTAGCACCATCTTCCAATGTCAAGAAAGAGTTAGTAGAAAAATGCAATAGCTTTACCATCTTTTTTGCAGATGCATGTGGAGAATAATTCAGAAGACGGACAGTTTTAGATGTTATAAGGCTTAAAAACGTATTAAAGAAAACATTTATAAAGGAAAAGAAAAAAGAAAAGCTATTTTGAATGTGTTCCAAACATTCCTTGAAGACATAATCAGCAAAAGAACAATGATATATATAGGAAAGGAAGGATGGAGGGAAATGGAAGAAAGCAGTCACATTCACAGCAAATAAGAATCTAAAGCTTTTGCAGGAGATTTTGAGCCTCTGCTCAGCGTTGGAGGTTTTGAGTACCTGGAGGTTGAAGATGACTATGAATCCACTTTTAAACTCAATATGCTTTGGTCCCTCCAGGCCAGAGACAAGAAGGTGGCTGGAGACCTGGCGGGTGCCCAAAGCTACGGCTCCACTGCTCGCTGCCTCAACATCTGGTCCACAGTCCTGGCTTGCACCATGATCTTTATTTTCATTATTTTACTCTCCAGGTCAGATGTAATGTACAGAACCGTGTACTATTACCGTTATTAGTGGTAAAAGTTTCAAAATTCTGTCTGAGTTGCCTGCTGTTGCGTCTTGGTGATATTTTTGGTTATTTGCTTCATGCTTATGGCACAATTTATACTTTTTTACTTATTTTCTTAAGCAAAAAAAAAGAAGCTTTTTTGTTGGTGTTACAAAAGTCTTAAATGAAACACATCCATCTTTTCTTGATGACTATTTTTAGTTGAGTTTGACATTCATGTGAGACTTTGTTATTAAATTCAGATTTCCTGTTGTAAGATCTGTATCTCAGCAGTTGTTTCAAAAAGAGAACAGTGTCAACTGTCAATAAAAGTCTCTGTTTCATAAATCTTTGAAACGTGTGTCATGAGATTTTAAGGGTTAAAAACACATTGTAGTTGCAGTAGTATACTCACTGGCATGGTTTTCCACATTTTCTATATTGTGTTGAATCAACAACTGTGGAAACGAGCCAAACACAAAACTGTCACTGACACAAACAGTTGTTAATTAATTCACACTGCTGTAAAACTTTTTTTCATCATCATCATCATCATCATCATCACTATTATCAGACTACTTTTTACCAGTAGCAGAGGAGCAAAACTCTCTCAGAACAAAAACTCATTTATATTTTTTGCAAAAAAAAAAAAAAAATCAACTTTTCAAAGGAAACTGCAACATGGAGTCTCATAAATTTCCAAGGCATCAATGGAATACATTAAATATCTGTTTTTTAAAAAACCTTTTAAATTACAATTCTACCAAAAGAAGCATTTTATGGTATTTTTTCTTTTCACATTGGAGGGATTAAAAATAGCTGAAAATCAGGGCAAAGATACCACTCCAGGTAGGAACAATACTGATACCAGTTGTTTAAACACATTGGAGAGACGGTAGTAGAGAAGTGAAAGCCCTAATCAATAATGTGGGGTGATTGGTTGTCTTTTCAAGGAGTGGAAACTGCTGTAATAAACCTCATCACCTTGACCTCAGTATTATGGATACTGGAAAACAAATGGGTTCATTTGTGCCATATCATAACGACTCAGGACTTGATATCAAGAAAACTATACCTAATAAACAGAAATAAAGTGTTATTAATTGCTCTATATGTTCCTGGGATTTGGGAAGCATGAGTGTGAACATTAAAGGGCAATTGCACTGAAGAAGGCACGATCAACACCTGAATGTAGAAGTCATCAAACTGACCGTCCAGTGAATTATGTTCTGCGTGGAAGCATCTTGCAGTTGTGTTCACATCATCTGTATTTGTTATTTAGGTGTTGAGGTGTTGACTGGATGTTGTGAGCCAGATGTTTTCCGAGCGCACCACCTCACCAGCAGCTGGATCTCTGTCTGTCACCACAGTGTCGTCTGCACACTGGATGATGCCTCTGGATCACCTGCGTTAACGAGCTCCTGAGACAATGTTAGTTCACGTACAGTAAACACACAACATTCCCAGGTCTTTGCTGTACACCAGAGAGATTCAGAGTTTTGTCGAATCAATTCATGAAGAGTTGACAATCGTAAGTCATCGTAGTTTGTATTAATTGGGACTTTCTAAATCTGCCAGCCTCTTTAGCAACAAGAATATGAGTTTTAAATTATGTAACTAAAGATCTTTGTCTTAAAATAAATTAGGTAGAGTTAGGTTGAACTGTGGCCCTCGTAAAGCTTGAACCAAATGATCCAGGATATTTCAAACTGGGCCAACTGTGTTACCGGTACAGGAACAAAGAATAATGAACAAGATGATAATATTATGTGAAAAATGTTTTTAAAGGTTAACAGTGGGATGGCAGTGAATTCAGGAGTAAAGTACAATTCTTTACATACAAAAGGTTTGAAGGTTTGTGAAGGGGGGGGGGGGTTCAGGAGGAGTTTGATGAGGCCACAGTGAGTGGAAACACTAGAGATGAGGAGGCAGGGGTCAAGGCTGATCTCAGGACAGACTGATGGACAGATATCAGCAAAAGCAAAAGCTGTGGTCTGGAGGCCATGAACAGGTTCAGGTGAAGTTCCTGAGACTGAGGACTCGGGGGTAGTAGCAGTTTGTTTACACAGAGTTTTGCTCACAAAGTGATTCAAAAAATATTGACACTAGTCAGGAGAAGCTTCACTGTGCTAACGAGAGCGGGGATCATCTGATGGACATGGTCCAGTGTTGGAAGCTTTTTCCATTGATGTTCAGGAGCAGAGGAGACACAGATTTATGTTTCTTTGTTTTTGTTTTTATTCAGAATAAACTTCTTTGGTATGTGCAGATCGGATGAACTGCAGCGTCTGTGGTTTGAGATGAAGAGTCTTTGGTCTGCTGCTGATGGAGTTTGAAGGCAGTTAAATTTCTATGCGGAGCAGAGACATGAGACTTGGACGGAGACGCAAAGCAACAATAATAATGTGAGGCCATGGTCCAGTTAACCAGGACAAAATAGGTGCAGTGGAAACACTGGGGCACCTTCTCAGGTGTATCCTGATGGATCTAAACTCAGGCAGAGTTTTATCACTGTGTCAGCAGGATAAAGGGACAGCAGCAGCAGCAGCAGCAGCAGAGCGGAAGGACTCAAGGTACAGTTAACAGAGGCGAGACGTCGGGCCTGTTCCAGGAAGTACTTGCTTGGTTTAAACCACAGGAGGAGGTTTGTTGTGCTAGCATCAGGTTAGAAGCACTGCAGAGTCTGTGGTTGTCAAAGCAAATGGCTGAGTGTGGGGGGGAGTTTGGGAAGGCGACAATAAGCTCAGGTAAACTGTCGGAGGAAAGACCCCGTGGGTGATATTAACAGCTGACCGACAGGTATCAGCAGACCAGAGAGGCTGCAGCTGAGGTGAACAGGCACCAGGAGCATCTTGATAAAATGGCAGTGGACTGAGGAGCAATATAAAAGTCTCTCACCCCTTTGTTCAGTCTTGCGTTGGGAAGCCGAAGGGCCAGGATCCTGCCAGGTGGAATCAGGCGGGGTATTGTCATCGTCTGCCAGATACCCAGATCTCGCAGCTCTTCGGTTGCACTTCCTTCTTTTTAAGGAGGAGCACAAATTACCAAGAGACCAGGGTCTCGAAAACGATTGTTGCACAGAACAGGACATTGTAATACTCTCACTAACTGATGACGAAAAACTGCAGACACAAACACACACAACACAAACATGCTGAGCAGATTCTTTAACTAAACTTTCTTACTCAACCAAAGCGAACCATTTCTCCCGTCAATACTTGACATGACTCTGTACATGATAAACAGACATGTAAAAGATGCTGCAATGTAACTAATGAAAAAAGTAATTTACTCCACTGATAAACACAGAGAAAGTAAATGTACTTATTCTTCAACATGATGCAGTTCTATTAAACAGTTAAATTCAAGTTAAAACAGAAACATTTGGTCCCAGCTAAATAATGGTCTTACCTCTCAAATGGTTGATGTGGGAATGAGGCCAAGACTGTGTGCACCTGTAGATCTGCACTTGTTCCATTGTGATGTCACAGGCAGCAGAACAGCGGCGGGTTCTAGTTCTGCTGTTCTGTTCTCCTGCAGTTCTACTGGTGACACACATTCCTCTGTACAAAGGTCACGTGTTCGGCCCTAACAGAAGCTGATTGACTGTGATTTCATCCTGCTAGATGAACAACATGGACAACAGTAAAAACAAAAATAACAACAAAAAAAAACACCCTGAGTTAATCGGTCTAATTAGCCAATCACAGTCAGTTGTGTGAAAGTTTGGGCAGCAACTGCACTTGTGTGCGTCTGTCAATGTGCATTTGTGCATGGTTTTAGAAACTGCCAAAGCTTAACCTTCCCATTTTTTCAAATATTGATCAGTAAAGCTTCAAACAAAAGTACTTCACTAGTCCTCCAACAATTGATCAACAGCATTGCCCACAGGAACCTAAAGCACCCAGGCATTAAAGAAATATTTACCACACTCTAATCAGTATGTAAAATCTACTACAGTTAATAAATATATAATGACTCATAGTATAAGTACTGTCATATTGCCCGCCCATATTTTGAACTGATTGCAACACCCTCACACAGTGGCCTCCACTCTCATTTATTCTCCATTTGTATGTGGGTCAGTGTGTAAAAGTAGGTAGCTGGTGGAGATGGAGAGCAGTTACAATTGCATCAGTCTGCAGAAGCTTCTTTTTCCCCATTCAGCAAAAAATGTTGCAAAGTTTCTAGAAATATTGTAATTAGGTTAATCAATTCAAAATCTTCCATTGATTTTACTGGTACCCTCACAGGTTATTCAGACTGAGTTTGAAGGAAACACCAGACTGTTGGAGATGAAACTTATTTTTTTATTTATCTAAATTTAACAAAGGGATATATATTATTATATGGTATATTATACACTAGGTTCCTTATTAAACATTAAAGATTAGCGATGTTTGATCCACCTACAGCTGCATTACATTACCTTATGATCTTATGATTTTTCTTAATCAGGTGGCAACAGAAGCTCTCCATAGCTGTGCATGAGACAAAGGTATGTTTGTTTTCTTCTCCAGCATACCTGTTTTGAGCCGCTGCTGTACTGCTGGATAAACATGAATGCTGGGAGCAAATCTTCAGAAGTATAGATCCATCTCAGTTTTGTTGGTAACACTTTATAATGCATCCCACATTTTTGTTTATAATTTTGTTGTATGAACCAGGTGCTAATGAAACATTTACTGATTCCTTGTCGTGGAAGAAAACATGACTATGGGGAACATGGAAATAACAACCGGGCATCGATATAGCAGCTCTTGTCATATGGACACCAGATTTTCTTTACCTAATAACTGTCCCCTATAACTATGTCACTGTAATCCATAAGTGTCCACATTATTCAGAGATTTGTTGCACTTTTCTTTGAGTTTCCAACCCCTGTTCTCTTCTAGTTTGGTGAGTAAAAATGTCAGAATATATTTTTATATCATAACTATGTGTAATACCATATAGGATCAGTATTATCTTAAGCCCATTTTCCCCAAACATATTTAGAAAAATACTTAAAATAGAATTCTCCTCTCCTCTAAAAACTCCCAATAATTACTCCCTTTTTCATCACAGTCTTGTTTGCTTCCACTGTACTTTCATTAAATTACCAGAGGGAAGCGATAAGTATTATTATTGAGATGTGTTTCATTCAATTAATTCTGATTCAACAAAGTTTTATTTCAAAGTTCATGAAGCCACAGTCTTCATACGTGTTGCTTCTATCATTATAATAAAAAAATGGGAACAGTTTGACGCTGAAGTAATCTGAGAAGACATGCATGAGCTGAGCTACAAAAAAAAAGAAAAAGAAAACTTAAAAGAGTAAGGCTGTACTTCTTCCAGAAATGTAGTTTTCACACAGCGAGCACTTGGTGCTGCTACAAGACTGTGATGCTGTTGACACAGCACTGAGCTTCAGCTCTCCCACTTTTCTTTTATCCTCAAGCTTCTCGACTTGAGAATGATTTTAGATGTAAGGTCTAATGTCTATAGACTACAACAGTTGGTTTTTCTGCCCAGATTTAGGAACTCCAACAGCTCCAACATATCTACGATACACCCAAAAGCACCAATTTGTGATTTGTCATGATTTAAATGATGAATAAAGTCATAGAAATGGTGGAGACAATGATTATGTGATCTGGATGTTTATAAAAAAAATCTAACCATTGATATCCTTTGAACTGTAAATGAGAGAAAACCATAAACCTTACCAGGTAAACTGCCCAATTGATTTAGGTTTGGAACAACATGCTACATGCAAATTGAATTAAAGCTGCAATAACTGTTTTTTTGGGACCACTTGATGTGTCTGAATCCTGCTTCAGATTGTTGTAACTGCCCACTGAACTGTGAGTTTCAGACAGAGCCTCGCAATTTTAGGAGCCTGTCATTTGACCAAGCAGAGAAAAATAAAATGAGTAAATCCACAAGTGTCATGTGACCAGGTTTGGCCTCTGTTTTTATCTCTGATCCCTCATCGCCGATCTGAGCAGGAGCCTTCCAGTAAATAAATCAAGGAAAACCTTCACAAAAGACTGAAGGAGACCTAAACCTTTAGTTTATGACATACTTTTATATCCTGCTTTAAAACGTTATTTTTATGCACTTATGCACCCCCTTGCCTTAGTCCAGTTACACATATGTGTGCACATGTGTTTTCAGGTATGTGTATGCATGACTGGGTAAGATGATGTATGGATGTATGAGTGCCACCTGTTTTTCATTACATATTTATTTACTTCTATATGTGTATGTATTTTATTTAGTTAATCAATTTATTAACTTATTTATTTCACTTTTTTTCTCTATTCTTATTATTTAGTTCTTATTTTAATCCCCCCTCCTTGTCCCCCCCTTTTTTTTCTTTTTTTTCTTATTACTTATTTACTCATTTTGTTATTTATTTAACTATTTGTTTGTTTTTGGTAGTAGCTCACTCTACTGTGCGGTCTGTCACCCATTTTTACGGTTGTATGTCAGGAAATGTTTTGTAAAAATGTTTTAAATGTTTAAATAAAAAAAAAAAAAATGTTTCTGAGAAAACATGTTACTGCATTACATTTGAAAATAGGGAGAGAGGGGTAAAACATGTTATAGGGTGATAATAATAATAAATGATAAAATGATAAAATTGGATTTCGGTCAGTCTACCAAAGCGTACACCCTTTTAACTTATGCAACACTCAGACTTTGGTAACTTCTGCTGCCACACGCTAACCTTCAAGTTTGTCCCACTAAGATCTGAGAATAGCAGATTATCTCTCTCCATTTTTGACCCATATGCCTCTCTCCCTGCTATTTAGAGGACCCAGAATTTCTTGGACCAATGGGACCGGCTGGAGTTGCTGCAATGTATGGACGAGGTTGTATGTCTTCTAGATATTACACAATATATGTGTTTTACAGAAGTACTTTAACCAACTATGTAAAGGAATATAACTTTCAGCAAATTTCAGTGTTGTCCTTGTTCTGTAAAATGATACTTCAGCACATACGGATTCATTTGTTGTTAGATAAGTATAGATGCATAAACAAGGGGTGGACACAAAAGGGTAAACACTTGCACACTACATCCCAGTTCAATAGCAATAACAATACTACACTTTTGGTCATTGTATTGAACCTTTCTTCATGGTTCATCTAAGTTTAGAGTTTATAAATGAGTTTATAGATGTTACAACACAATTTTATTTATAGTGGCAAATCACAAATTTCAATCATTAAGATTGGTTTCCTCATTGAGCGAAGTTCAACTCAGCCTGTGAAAATAGTTTATTTTGTATGGAAGGTGCTTCTGTGTTACAAACTGGAGGTATAGTATTTCAAGTATGTTGGCATTGTTAAGGCACAGATGGTAATGAAAGATGCTTTTGGATTGATTCTGTAATCCAATTTTTAGCCAGTCTCCCAAGTAGATGTCCTGTGTTTGACCCATTCATCGCCACAACCTCCTAAATAGCAGTGTGCCAATTCACTGGCTGCATCCTGCATTTGAAGATCGATTGCATCATAGCGGCGCGACTAGGCTGTCACATTTCGAAAGTCTCCTTCAAATGCGGCTGAGAAATTTCCCAGGGCAATGAAGGATCCAAGATTAATTGTGCGCCGGTAATTCGCAAGGCCAAAACCATGTTTTGTGAGGTCACCATGACCTTTGACCTTTGACCTTTGACCCCCAAAATCTAATTAGTTCATCACTGATACTTTGCACCACATTTGTCAAGGCATTACTGAGATATCACGTCCACAAGAATGAGGTCTGTCCGTATGGACGAACCAACAACCTGAAAACAATATGCCTTCAGCTCTGGCTGGCACGGAGGCATAAAAAGAACACTCACTTACCTCTCAGGGCTTCAAAGATTAATAATAGTAATACTAATAATAAAAACAAAAATTTGCCTGATTTTTTTCCCTTCTCACTCTTAAAATCCAGTTGGAATGGTGTCATTTTTTCTTTTCTTTTAGAGCACCACTTTCTTTCCACCTAAATTCCACCACGATTGTTTGTTTCCAGATTCATAGTCAAGTAATCAATCAAGTAAATCAATAAGGTTGGAACTAGGTGGCACCAAACTGACCAATCTGTATCCATAACTATCATCCTTTGCAAGAAAATGATAAAACAATATCTCATTAAGTTCATCAGAGCAATATATTGTATATCAACATCATTAAACATAGTATTATTATTAATTATTTAGTGAGTGCACATCCCTGGGCTTCAGGCCAAGAAAACATGTATTAATTCTCATGCAGCTTGGCAGACAAATTGTGTAATGATTTTAGGAATGTTATTGGTTACCATGATGCAGGGAGGCTTTAGTATTCTGAGATTTGAAGGTGTTTTAATGGAAATACATAAAAAAATAAGATCTGTTGACACTAGGCTCTGTTTTCAGAGCTCAGACTAGAAGGAAGCTCTTTGACTCAGAAGATTTCTCTTTACAGTGTCAAATCCCATAAAACAAATTTTCCACCTGCTTTTCATTTCCTTGGGGCTGGACTGTTTATATTCTTGAAATGTTTTCTCAGTCATTTTTGCTTGGAAGCAGCAAAGAAGCAGCACGGGCAGCAGACTCATCATTTATAAGTGAGTTTCTTTGGTTTTTTGGTACTGTTTAGTACTTGATTAATGTTATTGACATCTCACTTTCTGAATAACTTTACAATATATTTGCATTGGAAAAGCATTCTGACCAGCAGGTAACTACTGGAGGAATATCCTGTACAATAATAACAGCTGTAGTTTAATTTGCTACACTTTGACTTCATTGGTTTAGATTATGATGTAACTATATTTCTGATTGAGAATGTAAACAGGAAACTCATTAACTATATTACATTTTAGTCCTGCATTTAGAAGATGAGGGCGTGTTTCCTATACTGCGTCCTCTGCCTTGTGGCTCCTATTGGCTACAGTCAGCGTCCTGGGCCTCCCGGGATTCCTGGGCCTCCCGGGATTCCTGGGTATCCTGGGCCTCGTGGGCTTACTGGGCCTATTGGGCCTGTTGGGCCCCAAGGTTCCAAAGGAGATCCTGGACCATTTGGGCCAGCTGGAGCAAGAGGGTTTCCTGGTGCTCCAGGTGCAAAGGGGGGGTTGGTCCAATGTATTTTGGTCATTCTGTTACTTGTAAGGAAGACTGACATTCAAATATTTGAATGATTATATAGGATAAACCCTTTTACATAACATGACCTTTCCTCACAAATCTTCAAGTCAAATCTTTCTGTCTCACTAATTATTAGAGAATAGTAAATTTGTCTCTCTGTTTTTTATTCATCTAACATTTTCTTTTTTATTTCCTCCTCACTGGTCTATTAGTGAGAAAATGTTTTAATGTCATGTTTTAATGTCTCTTTACCTGCTCAATAGGTCCAAGTGGAGATCCTGGACCAGCTGGACCAGCTGGAGCCCGTGGAGCACCCGGATTACCTGGACATGTTGTAAAGTGTGGAAAAGGTCATTTAGTTATTAGATAACATATATTGGCTAAATGCTTTGTCAGCATGGTAACATGAAAATATTAACATGCTGATGTTTAGCAGGTATAATGTTTACCATGCTGGACAAATTAAAATCTGCCATAACTGAGATGAAACGTCTGAGGATATGTGATATTACAATTCATCCTCAGGGGGAAATGAATGTTAGAGCGACTAATTATTCACATCACAGTTTACAGTGCTGCCCTGATTCATGACAGCCCATATGGCTGGCTAGCATCTACATTACTTTTTAAAATAACCCTTTTGTGCATGTTGTAATAACTCAATGATAAAAGTAGACATTTTACACATCATGCAGCCCTAACTGAACCACTGAACCTCAAGCAACCACAGCATACATGTTTAGCACAAATATACATGTTTACTGAGAAAAGGCACAAATGCAAAGAACAGTCTATGGATTTTAAGAATGGATAATTGGATCATTCAAAAATTACAATTAATTGGAAATTTGATTTGATTATCCTGGGATTTATCCTCTGGGGAACATGAATGTAAATGCATACTTTCATTGCAATCAAACCAATGTTTGTTGAGATATTTCTGTCTGGACCAAAGTGGTGAATTGACAGAACAACACTGCCATCCCTGCTGCTAGCATGGCAACAAATGTAAATGAAAAAAAATCCAATTTCTATAGATCAGAAGTGGCCTCCCAACTGGCAGCTCTTATTTTGCAGGGTATTTTAATACAGTATGTTTGTTGAACTTGACATTAAATTGCCCCTTATAGGATTTCTAATTTTGAATTCAATCTGCAAACTATTCAAGACAATTTTGTGAACCAACATGCCAGCATCACCATTCCCAGATGGTGAAAAAAGATTAATAAGAGAACTGAAATAAAAAGTGGAAGATAATAAGTCTTTTATTTTTTAAGAGTGCATATTATTATACACATGTGCACAGAGCTGTTGGTGCCAACTTACTGCAACTTTGGTAACTTTTTGTTAACTGTTTGATCCAGATATCTTCGGCTCCATTAACGAGGACCTTGAAACCTTAAAGAAGATCACTGATAAGTTAGAACTGGGTAAGTATCCTCCTCAAGGACTACAAGTCTTCTGTACTACTTATGTCCTTTTATATTTACATTTCTCACCTCTTCTATGTTTGTGAGAGGGATTTTGTGAGATTGTGAGGTTTCACTTTACCCCCAACATAAAACCACTTCAATCAGGAAAGATTTGTTTGCTTAACGAAAAAACTTTTATTGCCATGTGCAAAACGAGATAGGAAAAGTGAGAGATGTAAGAGTCTTTGGCGATTAGACCCCATCGTGATGTCTTCATATGTGATTAGGGGATGAGGCTGTGCGAAGTATGGGAAACCCCCCGGGGTCTAGACACTGGTGGTGGTCTTGAAGATGGGAAGAGGAAAAGCTGGAGATCTGGATGTGATGAGAGTGATGATGAGCTCAGCCTGACTGGATATGAAAACTGGAGGTGGAAGGGGTGGAGGAGGGTCACAGCAACTGCACTGAAATGATGCTGACAACAGGAGAGAGGAGAACAAATTTTAAAGTATGACTGGGACAAGTTGATTGGCAGGTTGAGATCGTGATCTGATTGTTTCCTTATCACCTGAAATCAGCTGATTACCGGGAGTGGGGTGAGAGAGGGAGAATAGAGATAGTCTTCCTGATTGAACTTGCGCTAAGCTTCACTTTTTCATCACCGGACTAATGTTGTAAGCTCCAAAAAAACCTGGGGAGTGGACCTTGAGTTGAGATTATTTTGTCACACAATGCAAAGTTCTGCTTTATAAGAAGAACTTGAGAGTCAGAGCGACAAAACTGACTATAATGTTTATGACTTGTAAACACAAATGTGTTCACCTGTTCATTAATTCATGATGTTCTGCATCTGTTTTCTTCTTTCAGCTATAAACTATGATTTTGTGCAGACAGTTGCTGAGAAATACTTTGTGTCCTACAAGGAGAGAGACTCTTTCTCCAGGGCCGTTGAGTTCTGCTCCCAGCGAGGCTTGGATCTGGCTCTGCCCCAGAACGAGGAGGAGAACGTCGCACTGACTCAGTTCTTTGGTGACACTTACAAAACAGCCTGGATCAACGTCAACACTAAAAAAGCAGAGGGGAATTTTGAGGTTGATCTGAAAAACCGACCTCTGACCTTTACCAAATGGGGAGAAGGGCAGCCAGACAGGCTGCAGGATACAGGCTGCACTGTGCTGTCAGAAAACGGTGCCTGGCAAGTGACACATGATTGCTCCCTGAATGCTTACATCATTTGTCAGTTATAGACAGGTCTCGTATCCATCGCTTTTTCTCATGTTATGTATTGTATAAAATGTTTGTCTTGAGTTTTGAATAAAAGAAGTATTGCATAAGTCTTGATTATAATTGGGGCAGAAAAATGGTAGAAAAATTTATTCTCCTATTCTGCCGATATCAAGCAAAGTAAGAATATTGATGTGAATTTTATCCTCATGCTGCTTCAAGGACCTGCATTAGGAACCATTCTTCTTGGAAATATTTGCTTTCAGATGTTTTGTTTCATAAAACCATTATCCATGCTGTAAATCTTAATCCCTACTAAAGACATACACATATAACAGCATCATCAGCATGGCATTATTACTGTTGATAAAAAATTATCACAGGATATTCTGATAACATTAGCCACAATAAAGTCTAGAACAATGACACCATCTCATTTCATTCATTCAAGAGTCAAGATGAATGTTTTTGACATAACATTAAAGATGGACTCTGACCATGCTTTATATAATTACTACCGATACTGAGAGCACTGTTAAATCATACAGACACTTTCAAACTGTCCGGTAGTGTTTTTCCAGATTTGGCACTTGAGCATGAGACAAGTGATCAATTACAGAAGCTTATTTTAAACTAAGTTACTCTTTTTATCATACACTTCTCTTTGCTTGACTTTTGTTATTAGTTTTTTGGCCCTGCCACACCAGTAAAATCCAGCCTAGTATCATCTGGATATCAGATCTCACAGGGACAACAAAACATCCTGAACTGTCAAAAACTCAAAACATTTTCCATTGTCACATGAAATGAAAAATCCTTTCCACTGCGAACGTAATCAGATCTTGGGGGAGGATATTTTTAATGTGCTGAGAAATGTTTTTGGTCTCTTGTGAGCAAGGCCCTAAACCCGCCTTTCTCCATTTAATATGCGCAGTGATAATCAACAGAAGAAAAATGTTCTGACAATATTAATGCGACTAATGATTTTCAAAGTGCTATAGTCCATCAACTGTGGTCTGGATAAAAGTAAAAAAAAATAAAAGCCTTCAGGAATCTCAATCTATAGACAAATTAATTATGGCTGCGATCAAAGAGTACATATCCCAAACTCTTCATGCCAACTTAAAACTGGCAGTGGTCATGAAAGAAAGTATAAAATCAATCAATAAATAATAAAATTTTTATCTGTTTGAGTGGAAATGCTTTTTAAAAGAAAACTATTGTATCTGTGTATCCTCAGACCAGAGCTTATCTCTGGTTCTCATTTCTGTGTGGTAACCCATAAAAAAACTTTTCACCTGCTTTTCATTTCCTCTGGATTGGATCTCTCATATATCTGACCTTGGACTATTTGCTCCTCCACTTCTGTTTGGAAGCAGCAAAGAAGCAGCACGTCCAGCTCACTCCTCGTTTATACTGTGAGTGTTTACCTGTTTATCACCAGTCAGTACTAGATTATCTTCACTGACACATTTTGAATAACTTTACTCTTTACAGGTACAAATAAATCCCAATAGTTTTTGCTGAAATGTTACAGTAAATTTCAACAGAAAATTACTTAAACAGGTACTGAATGCATATAATTTGCAATATAATAGTAATAATAGGCTAACTGTTATTTACCACTGTTAGAGTTGTGAAAATAACATCTTTGAATTCACCTGCATTCTGAGTGGACTGCTGTAAATTCAGATAAAAACTTCAGAAACTATTAACCATATTATTACTATTTCAGTTGTGCATTCAGAAGATGAGGTCGTTTCTCTTTCTCTGCATCCTCTGTCTGATGGCTCCTAGTGGCTACAATCAGCATTATGATCCTCCTGGTGCCACAGGGTTGATACCAAGTTCACCAGGGCCACCAGGGCCACCAGGGCCTACAGGGCCATCAGGGCCACCAGGGCGACCAGGGCCATTTGGGCCACGTGGGCCACCAGGGACACCTGGAGTAAGAGGACCAATTGGACCAACTGGACCATCAGGAGATCGTGGGGAAACAGGTGAACCAGATGAGTATTATTGACAGTCACCACAATCATAGTCCCAAGAATACTTTTTTAAATATTTAGTTCTAATTCTGCCAAAAAAACCTTCAGATTCCACAGATTAGTTGGTTGTTGTTGTTTTGACCAGAATCTAATGTTCTGATCCAGTGGGTATATGTGAAATAAAATTACCTGAGGTTCTAAAGGAATCTGAGACTTCGGTGGAACAAGGTATTTATTTGAACAAGTGTTTCCCTGAAATGTAATTCTTTGCTGTGATTTGTCCACATGCTCACATTAAGTTTGGATTGTTAACTTTACACAGAAGACACAGTCTCATATACAAGAAGGACTGCTGTGATATTTGCTGAGCAAAATCATACTCCCAAAAAGATCAAAGATGAAGCACCATTTTTATGCTGATGTTTTCTATACAGTATATCTCATAATGCATCTCATAGGAGATGTTTCGCAGTGTATTTTTCTAGCCTTTGTTATCTGCCCTCTACTGTCACCCTTGAGCAATCATATCTGTCATGACCTTTCCACTGGTGCCACCCTCAGGCCAAACTTTAAAGTTTTTGTCCCAGTAATGGCCTGAGTAACACTGTCTTTGATTTATCAAACTTTTTCTTTTCCTCTTGTTCCTTAAGCATTTCATCCTCCAAGGGCTGCTAATGTGTTTGATGTCTGTCCACCTACAATTCAGGGAGACCAGGAATGCGTGGAATGAAAGGACCACCTGGACCACCTGGACCAAAAGGATCAACTGGGCCTGTTGTGATATGTGGAGGTTATATAGTTTATATAATATATCTATTTTATAGAATTATTTGCATAATGTTATGCTTTATAATGTTTTGCTTTTGTTGAGGCGAAGTGTATTCAACTAATGCCTACCATACACCAGAAGACTTTGAAAAGTCTTTTAAAAGACTAAAGTCTGAAATCACCTCACATCTAAAGACAATGAGTCATAAGTGAAAAGAGTTTTTCAGTTTTGCAATACAAGATTTTCTAAAGACTGGGGATCTTGCAGGGTCATTATTTACGAGACTACAACTAGATCTCTTTGAGATTATTTCCCATCATGCTCCTGGTGGACATTTACAGGAAGAAAAACTGTCTATGCTGAACCTTATGTTTATGGCTTTAGTCTATAATGTATATATATGTATAATTTTGCATTGCTTGCACCATATTGTAAGGTGGACATTACTGTATCCACCTCTGCCCTGTGCTCTCACTATGAATCTCTGTGTTAAGTAAAAAGGGACAATAAGAGAAATGAAGATTAATATAGACTTTATTTATTATAGCCTTTTATTTGCAGAGTGCACATATCTACACAGATCCAACTTATTACTTGTTTGGTGACTGAACTTTATGTCTTTGATCCAGATCCCTTTAGTTCTATTCACCAGGAAGCTGAAACCCTAAAGAAGAGACATGCTAAATTAAATCTGGGTAAGTATCCCATTCAAGGACTACAAAGGGGTGTTACACAAAGTGAGTGCATGTGGATGGTGATCAATTATTAAAGTTCAGATTTGTTGTAAAACCCCACCATTCGAGTTATTCATTTGTACTTTTACCTCAGTACTTTTGGAAACATATGTATCCCTTCTTTTATGCACATTGGATGTTTGACAAAAGAAGCAATAAGCAGAAATATTTTTTGCTGCCATGCTGGACTCCATTAATCTCTATTAATTGCTATCTTTATATATATGCAGGTTATACAGCACTATTATGTTATAAGTTAAGTTATATGAATAAGTGAAAATCCTATTTCCAAAAGGTTCTGGGCGTTGAGCTATTTGATTTCTGTGAATCAAATAAAAATAACTTTAATAACTAATTATAGCAGCATAAATCTTGCAAGCTACTGAATTTCCGAACAAAGCTGTAATCTTGCATTGCATCCTAATCTGATTTGGTTTATTTCCATTTCGAAGACACAATCTGAACAAACAATCTTAGAATGAGAAGGATTTGGACCTGGCCCGACTCGCATCCCAGATCTTCCTGTATGTGATCATTCTATTCTCTGATACTTGAAAGTGCATCTGAAAGCTCAGAAAAAGATACAAAGTGGACGTTAATCCAGATTATTTGTTCACAAAATGTCACACTAGGTTTGATTTAGTAAATATTTGTGAACAGAGCCTGAGAGTCAGACGGCCATAATGACAACACAGCTCATAATTTGTGCACTTCAACATCTATGAGTTTCTGTTTCCTTTTTGCAGCTATAAACTATGGATTTGTCCGAAGAGTTGGTCGGAAATACTTTGTGTCTAACAAGGAGAGAGACTCTTTCTCCAGGGCCGACGAGTTCTGCTCCCAGCGAGGCTTGGATCTGGCTCTGCCCCAGAACGAGGAGGAGAACAACATACTGACTCAAGTGTTTGGGGACGCTTACAAAACAGCCTGGATCAACGTCAACACTAAAAAAGCAGAGGGGAATTTTGAGGTTGATCTGAAAAACCGACCTCTGACCTTTACCAAATGGGGAGAAGGGCAGCCAGACAGGCTGCAGGATACAGGCTGCACTGTGCTGTCAGAAAACGGTGCCTGGCAAGTGACACATGATTGCTCCCTGAACGCTTACATCATTTGTCAGTTATAGACAGGTGTCAAATCCCTTGTAAGTGTTATCTCAATGGAACGGGGGATTTTGTCCTTATACTGAGCACATTCAAAATACCGCTGTTAAGCTTATATTTCTTTCTTCTCAATGATACAAGTTTATCCATGGGGTAGATCTTAATCCCTATTGACACTCTTACTATTGCACAGATATATTCCAATATGAAAAGAAAATGAAGGACACAATTAAAGGAAGGACACATGTACGGGAAGAAAACAGTGGATTCTGAAAGTATACAGTATGTCACAATAAAGTGTACCACAGTCAAATAGTCTCTTTTCATTCGTAAACTTATTTACATTTTAGTCGGTTGGCTGCTTCGCTATCTTATCTGTTCAAAACTTCTATTGGCATATAGGTGTTCAGATACTGAGGGTACTGTGAAATCATGCAGACACTTTCAAACTGTCCAGGATAGAGATGCCACAATGTCAGTTGGCAGATTGCCTCATTAATGTTGGCAGGTTCCCTCTGGGTGATGGATTTAAATACGAAATATTGCCAAATAGGCACTTTTGCTTTATGCTTTAACACCAATTCACCATTGTCTTGTTGGTCAACTCTCCTCTTGTCATGTGATAAGGCTTTGACACTTTCAGTTTTATAATTGTAGCGTCAAATATTGATAACAAACATTGATAACAAATAGAATTTTTTATTTGATGAACATGGGCACTACTGCTGTTATGTGAAAATGAACCAAAAGGGTTTTATATCTATAATATTATGTCCCTGCCAACCAGCCAAGTCGCAGGAAATATGGTCATAGTCTCCCCTTCCTGAGCTGTTGAAATTGTAGCCAGAGGTGTTTTTGCAGAACATTATGATGTCACAGAGGTTTACCTTTGACATCACTTTATTTAATCCTTATAGATATGTGAGGTGAATGGTGTCATAATTATGCATGAATTAGTGAGTTATGGCCAAAAGTTTTGTGAGGTCACAGCAACCTTGACATTTGATCTTTGACCAACAAACTCTAATCAGTTCATCCTTGAGTCCAAGTGAATATTTGTGCCAAATTTGAAGAAGTTCCCTCAAGGTGTTACTGAGATATCGTGTCCATGAGAATAGGACGGACCTAGAACTCGGAAATTTAATGCCTTCCGTCCTGGCTGTCGCCAGCGCAGAGGCCTAAAAATTTTAAAAGTGTGTACCTGAACATCTCCCACTGGCTTTTTGTTGAGGAGACCACAGTGCATTGATGTATGCACCATGGATGTATGCCACAGTGACGCTGACTTCCAGGTTAGTTTACAAAAATACACCATCTCTGCAGCACTCTTTCCGTAGGCCAAGTAAATCCCACCCCAGCTCCAACTACATACTTGACACATAAACAAGAAACCAATAATTGATATTCTAGGGGTGGGAAAATGTACTGAAATTAGATATACCCTGTGATACAAAAACATCTGCAAATGTATCAGTTGGTTTCGCAATATGTACTGTGTTACACAAGCTACTTTTTATTTTTACCTTTATGATAACCATAACCATCCATTGTCAAACAAAATTTTTGCCAAGCCTATTCTATACTTTGTACTGCAGAGGGCGCAATCGCCTTTCTAATAAAAAAACAGCATCCTGGGACCCACACTTCTTTAAGGAAGCAGTACATCTTGCTCTGAAAGAGAGTAAACAAAGATCATGTGACTGCATCCTGGTGACCCCTTGTTGTTGGACCACTAGTCAGTGAGAGACGAGATCCAAGACAAACTCAATGTTGCAAAATAGGGCTGCAGTGTGTATCACAGACGCGTCATCTTAAAATTGCCAGGGATCAGGAGAGAGGATGTAAAAATAAATGTATCTTTTTTTCTTTTTTTCTTTTTTTATTTCATATGAAAGAATGAATTTTAATGTGTGGTAATGCATTTTAAATATTTACTATCACTCTGCAGGATCAGTTGTTTAAAAAAAGAGGAACGGTTTTGGACTCTCTTCTGTGTGATATCCCATTAGAGATGTTGCATCTGTTGTTTACTCTGGACCGGATGTTCATAGTTCCACCCTGTAGTTCAATCATTTTTATTTGGATGTAGTGAAGAGGCAGCACAACCAGCAAATCACTCCGAGTTTATACAGTGAGTTTGTTTCTGCTGATCTGTCTTTTGTAATAGATTTAGTGTTATTATGACCTTTTAAACAACTTTACAACAACATAATATCTGTTTAGTAATGTGAAATACATTAAAGATAAAGAAATATAACTTGTAATTTTGGACATTAAACTCATTTTTGTATGTATTTAGCTGGTTTTACAACTGTTTTCAATATCTGAGGAATTCACATCTGTAAATATGTGCACAGAAAATTTGATTCGTCTACAAGGTGGGAACTACTGTCAGCATGTAAAACAAGTCACTGTAGTCTGTTGTGAATTAACCTTTAATTTCATTTTATAAACTTTGAATTAATGGTTAACAATAATGATAAAAAATATTTCTGATGCCACCTGTATACAGCAGCAGTATACAGCAGTAGTATACAGCATCTTAACTATATTTCATATATATTTTCAGTTCTGCACTGAGAAGATGAAGCTGCTTCTCTTGTTCGGCATCACCTGCCTGATGTCTCCTTTTGGCTACAGTCAAATAATGGAAGGTCTCGTTGGTCCCCCTGGTCCCCGTGGTCCCCCTGGTCCCCCTGGTCCCCCTGGTATGCCTGGTATCTCTGGTCCCAGAGGTGACGTAGGATTCCCTGGGAGCGTTGGTGCACCTGGATTTTCAGGTATGAAAGGTGGGTACTACTCATCTTCACCACAATACTGTTTCAAAAAATATTATTTTGACCAAAGAGCCATCTTCTGTCTGAGTTCTGGCACTTCCCTGTTGGACAGACTAATTAGTTTGTTGTGTAGCCTCAGTCCCACAATCTGCCTCAAATCTCCCCAGATCCTCCCATGTCACCATCCTTATAGTTTCTTCACTTAGCTCTCTGTGTTGCCTGAGTTGGTACGACATTTGCTATAGTCTTATTCAATTTCTGTTCCCTCCTCTTCAGGAGAACCTGGAAGACCGGGAGAACCTGGAAGACCTGGAGGATCTGGAGAACCTGGAAGACCTGGAGAACCTGGAAGACCTGGAGGATCTGGAGAACCTGGAAGACCTGGAGAACCTGGAAGACCTGGAGGATCTGGAGAACCTGGAAGACCTGGAGAACCTGGAAGACCTGGAGTACCCGGAAGACCTGGAGAAGCTGGACCTCGTGCAAACTGCAGACTAGGTGATATACTTCATGGATTTTGTAAAGTAATATATAATTATATCAACTGAGTAATTGCTTTTTTTATTTATTACAATACAGGATGCAGTTGAAGTACAATTTATTGAATCTTAAAATATTCAATGTTGTTTGTCAAAGTTTGTGTTGAATCTTAAATCTTTTATACAATACATTTTACAACAACAACACTAGAGCTGCAACTAATATTGTTTCCATTATTGACTTATCTTTTAATTTTTTTGATTGTTTAACCACTGAGTTTGTAAAATATCAAAAAAGAAAAAAAGAAAGATGCCAGGACTGCAGTCTAAGCCCAGAGATTTTTCATTTACACTGATATTCATTAAAGAAAAGCAATAAATCCTCCAACCAATAAATATGTCTAATAAAGTACTTTAACTATTAGTCAATAAGTAAAATTTCTGATGATTAATTTTCTGTTGATCAGCCTATCAAGTGATTGACTAATCATTTCTGTCTGCAAAGTTGTTAACCATGCAAACAGAGTTTAGTAACTAAACTTGATCTGTTTGATCCAGATCCCCCTGAGTCCAGTTGCCCGGACCTCAACACACTAAAGAGCAACTTTGCTAAGTTAGAGCTGGGTAAGTAGGCCTATTATAATCAAGGGGTTAGAAAGAAAGAAGTGGATGCAAAATTCATACACTAGAGAACAAATCCAAAAAGAAATCTAGAACACTGCCACTGTTTACCTTTTTGCTCTATTGGTTATTGACCCTCTCATTTGTTCATTTATTCCTGATTTGTTGGATGTATTTTTTTTTCCTTTTTCCAGCTATAAACTATGATTTTGTGCGGAAAGTTGGTCAGAAATACTTTGTGTCCTACAAGGAGAGAGACTCTTTCTCCAGGGCCGTCGAGTTCTGCTCCCAACAAGGCTTAGATCTGGCTCTGCCCCAGAACGAGGAGGAGAACGTCGCACTGACTCAGTTCTTTGGTGACGTTTACAAAGCAGCCTGGATCAGCGTCAACAATCAAAAAGCAGAGGGGAATTTTCAGGTTGATCTGAAAAATGGACCTCTGACCTTTACCAAATGGGGAGAAGGGCAGCCAGACAAATCCATCCAGGACACAGGCTGCACCATGCTGTCAGAAAACGGCATCTGGCGAGTGACAAACGAATGCTTCCTGAATGCTTTCATCGTTTGTCAGATCTAGAAAGGTCTAGTATCCAATGAAAGTCTCAACTACAGTTTACATGTGCTATTGCATAACTTACCTGTGGATGAGTAGGGCAGGAATGTTATAGAGAAAGGAAAAGACACCTTCTTTCATGCTACTGTCCAGTGAATTAAAACATATTGACATAACCTTATCCACATTTTCACAATAACATGGAAACTGCTCTATGGGTCGGGCTTAGGCATTATTGCCCTTAGATATATTTGCTCTTACATGTAATCGTTTGTTTCTTACCGCTATCCTTAAATCTCTCCTGAAATAAGTATAATTGCATCAGCATCATGACATTATGTAGAGCCTGTAATCACTTTTGTTTTGAAAGCATATGACACAATAAAGCATACAGCAGTGATTCAGTCTTGTTCCATTAATTTATTAATCAAATTTTTGGAAAACAGAAATTGAATGTTTAAATCTAGGTATACAGGAAATTTGAGTCTTATTCCACAGTTATCTGTTCCCATCAACCACATTTCACACCTTCAAAGGTTTGTCCAAATGTACGAAGTTGCAGGAGCATGTTTAAAACTATAGGACTATTTAAGCATTGCGTGTCTTTATAATGGTGGCGCAAACAGATAAAGTGTCTGTCAATGTATGTTTTTTTTGTCACAAAAGAGATTGAGAGCTGCTGCAGGAGGCCGCGCCTTTTCAGTCATGGCCCCCATTCAATGGAATCGTCTTCCTCTATTCATAAAAAATGCCATCTCAGTTGACAGTTTTAAGAAGCTGCTAAAAAGTCACCTGTTTCAGATGCACTTTACCATGTGATGCACTTTATGTAATGTGTGATTGATCCCCTGTGTAACTTTTATTGGTTTTATTATTTTTCTTGTTTTGTTTTGTATCTCATGTGGTTATGTGTTTCTCAAATGTTTTACTGTGCAGCACCTTGTAACCCAGGCTTCGAAAGGTGTTCTATAAGTAAAGCTTAATTTATTTACTTACTTACTTACTTACTGACCATGCTTGCCTGCCCACACATAATTACAGCACTCCTCAACGTAGATGGCAAGTACTGTACGAACATGATGCATCCCTTAACCAATCCAAACTCAAACATTTATTTTTAACTTAATGGCTCTCCATTTAGTTTTCCATCATATAGATTCATTTGTGTTTTCATGTTTCTGTCGTACTCTTAGGCCTACTATCAAATCCAATATGGGGCAAACACACACATTAGGAGACTGGACAGGTGCCATTGCAACATCCTCAAATTTAACTGTGAAAACTGGCATCACAGACACACCAGAAATTAAGTTCTTATTTGCTGCACACATCTCATGTACAAAACTAGATATTATATATATATATAGTCTTAGATTAAAGCACACAGAATATGATTTTATGCAGTCTTTAAAAGTAAGATCATGAATCAACAGCCACACAACCACAGCTTGACAAGCTGAGTTCCCATATTTTAAAGGTTAGCTACAGTTAGAGACTGCTGAGAGATTGGGTTTTTCATAAGAGCACAAGTACTGGCTGAGTACTTAGGATCAATATTTGATATCGAAAACACACTGTTTATGTTATAAGCCAATAACAGTATGAAGCCCTTTTTTATTCTGTGAATCAGCCTACTACTTCGATAATACTTCGTCAGACTAGTGCGGACTAGAGAGACCAATACATGATGAACTGATGAAGCCGCTTGGATAAGAGGCGAAACGTCTTCCACAGACAAATACAAGTCCAGTTGCCTTCGATTTAATTTGAGAGAGAGATAACTATGACCTGGACGAATGAGAACATTCACAGACAGTTCGATAATACTCTAATTGCATGCAATGTTGTATAGACATTGAATATAGTATAGACTATAGATTCTTTTCATACTATCACTATGTGGTTAAAAATGCCGCTGCTTGGATAATTGTTCTTTGCAAATACAGGCATGTTTGTCCCATACATCATAGGAATGGCGCTTTTATTTTGGAAGGAAAGCATCAGAAATGTCGTTAGTGCTAAAACTGTTTCCTGCGATGTGTTTTTTTCTTCTTTTTTTTCTTGAATGCTTAACAAATAAGACTGTAAGCGTGCGCGAGAAATATACTGAGTGAAAACAGAAATAACATCAAACAGAAAACCCGCTCAGATATAGAGTAGATTAAATATGCGTGATATCCACGCTGATGGTATGAAGCAGAGTGGCGCAGCGGAAGCGTGCTGGGCCCATAACCCAGAGGTCGATGGATCGAAACCATCCTCTGCTAATTTTCTTTCACTGTTTTTACTACACATTCCTTACGCCTTACAAGCACAGAAGGTGGATGCGACATTAACTCAGCACTGCTTTTTCGAAAACTACACTACGCACATGTCTTAATATTGTCATCCAATGCACTGTCGCTATTTTGTGCGAAACTGTCAGGCAAATTAATATAACGTTAATGTAATTATACTAGAAGCCGGCGATGCTTTATGTAGTTTACTAAATACAATAGTTTATTTTAATTAAAGTTTTTTGAGGTCTTGACTCAACTTTATGATCGTTTTGAATAGTTTGTGGCGCTGCTGCGTATCAGTATGCAGAACGGTCATTTTGTTATTCAGCACAAATGGGTTGGAAAAAGAAATAGAAATACAACATAATGCGATACGGTTTAACAGCAACACAGTTGAAGTAAGACCACTTTAAAATAGTTTCAACAAAAACTGAACATTAAAACCTTTAATTTATTCCAGGACTTGAGTTTTAGCCAAGTGTATGCCTACTCAATAAAATGGATTTGTGTTTGTATGAAAGCTGAAGAGATGCAAATCGGCAGTAGTAGTGGTACGCGGCCAACAGAGGGCATTGTTTCACATGTCAATATTTCCAATTATACAGTACCTGTGCTCGTTTTAAACTTAACATGATAATTCAGTTATTTTGTCCAATGTGTTTTAAACGTTGATGTATTTTGTCTTATTCTGCTACATCTATGAAGTCCAACCCATTATGCCCTCTGCATATCAAATCCAGCACAAAACATTCCCAAACTGAGCTGTGAAAACTCCTAACTTACCTGAAATCTTACTTCCTTCACATCCAGGAAATGTTATGTCAACAATATTATATTCTCTCAATGTCAAAGGATGCGTCGAGTATAAAGCTAAAGAGATGGGTTTGTATCAACATCTATGAGTCTTGCAAAAGTCAATCCCCACAGCACGAGGGAAATCTGTAAGAATATGAATAATGAAGGCACTTAAATGCGTCTCCTCTGCAGTGGCCATCAACAGCAGACTGTGGTTGTTCTTGGAAACTCCGACGTGAGTAATTTGAAGTCAAGTTGAAGTGCTTAAAAATATAATACTGAGCCATTCCTGCTCTGTGAAAAGACAGTTCAACAAAATAAACCTTGCTGTCAAGAGCCCAAGATGATGAGTGTATTGTCCAACAGTCCAAAGCCCAAAGATATATTCAAACTTGTCTATGCTTGTGAGTCGACCAAGACAATAAATAAATTATCAGAAAAGTCACAGGTTAATTTTCTGTTGATTGACCGATCATCTTAGCTTTACCTTAAACAAAAACAATGTTCAGGCAGGATGATTACTGGCCAGAACTTTAATTTGAGGTCTTGTAACCGTGGACATCAGAACCAAGTGGACTTGTCATATATTTAAGTAATTTGTTGTGAAGTGTGACCTTTCTGCACCCACTCAGTTCCCTTCGAGACCACATCACAGACTCGTCCCCCGAGGCCTCTGGCAGACAGCATTTCAGATGAACTCCTCCTCAACATCTTCAAGGCTTTTGAACAGCACAACCCTTCCTCCACTGTCCTCTGCTACCACTGTCCAACTCAACCACCTGACCCACACCACTAGGACTTCTAAGAAAGCTGAAGTGAAGGACACTTTGGTGGAAGAGATTTTGTGCTGCTCCCAAGCATCTACGTGCTGTCTCTTTTTCTGTCTTCTCTCTCTGAAACAGCTTTCTGTCTCTCTGTATCTCTATTTCAGTCTCTCTCAGGCCTGACCACATAATTACAGACCTACTGTATATTAAAGGACCCTGCCCATGCGTCCTCTCCCGGCCACCTCCTTCTTCATGGGCCTTTATAAGCCTCTCACACAGGAAGGGGGGGGGGGGAGAGACACCAATTTCCAAAGAGGGACCGTGCACAAGCATCTGGAAGACTAACTAGTTTGCACAGCTACCTATTCATCCACCTGACTGAACATAGCCATGGACAACCATTCGTACAACTTCCCTTCCGACTGCACCCCGCTCACCAACTGCAAGTCTGCCCGTAAGCCGGCTGGGTCCACCGTGGTGAACATGGGGAACAATGGCAAGAATCCTCCCCGGGACTATCTCGTCTGGTCGCTGTGCAACACCTTGTACGTTAACTTCTGCTGCCTGGGATTCATGGCTCTCATCTACTCCATCAAGGTGAGGTCTTGTGCTCTTGTGGGGGGGGGGGGGGGGGGGGGGGGTTATTAGTTTTGTGGCAGTTTTCATGTATAGCCTATATTTCTGTCTGGACCATTTTTATGAAGCACTCAATGTCCAAGATATTAACTGATGCGTCAAAAGAAAAAAGATAGGAAGTGCCTACGTTTAAGATCAGAATCAGATGTCCAAGCAGTGATTGGAGGACACTCTTCACTGATGTGATTTATAGAAGCATCCAAACAATGCAAGGGCCAGTTGTTTTATTTGTCATTTTTGTATTAATCTAATTTCTTAAGTCTTCTCAAATTTGTTTTAAGCCTTTATCATTGATGTTAAATCCAAATCAGTTTTATTAAGTGATGCTAATACTGACGATGTTAATTAACAGATATTACTAGAATTGCTTTATCAGCTGATTTCTTAAGTGATGCATCGTTTTGAATGGACAAGTGAGAAAAGTGAACATGCATGATACTATCAGTTTATTTTGTTTTGTTTTTGCTGTTGCTGTTTTCTCTTCTTAGACAATACATCACAATCAATGCATTTCAATATAGTATTTTACTCTACTTTCATATCTGTATTGTATTGTGGTTTTATGATAATGAAAACTGTCTATTAAAAGCCCAACTAGGGACAAGAGTTTAAAATTAGCACTAGCTATAAACTGTGCAACACATCAGTTTTATGTTTTGTATTTAATCAATGTTAAATTGCATCACCCTTATTAGATAAATAAATGAACTAAAACTAAAAGCGGTTTTATAATTAGTTAACAATATGCAATATAACATTAGATTTTAATATTACCAACCTGGGACATCTCTATGATGATTTTTAAACCTTCTATAATGCATCTTTGGCATAGGTAAAAGGTGAAGAAAGCTCTAGAATAACGAGCAAAGGCAAATACCATATTGGGAAATGAAGCACAGATGAATTTCTAAAAGAACAAGTGGGAAATAGCCATTACTTCTCTGCCAAAATCAAGAAAAATTAGGCATAGCTGGATTTAGAGTGCCAGACTTTTGCAATGGGTAGAGTTATGCCATAGAAGGGTCCATGTAAATGCTCTGTTAAGAAAATCTTTGTTGTAAAATGAAGAAAAAACAATATATTTTGGACACCGAAGAGACCTATTATTGTCCCTGGTTAGTAGAAAGTTGGTGTGCCCTTTACCACAGGAATGGGGCTGTCCAGAAACAGGAACCAAAACCTAAACAAAAGCTTTTCTCACTTAAAAGACACCAAAAGATCCTTGAAAATGCCATGTGCAAAGCAGGACTGGACAAACTGTAGCGCTACCTGAATAAAAAGGTTACTGAAAAACTCACCACAAAAGGGTGTGTATACCCTTTATTTAAGTCTTTTATTTCTGTCTGCATGGGGAGCAGCCCTGAATCACAGGCCCTGTATTGGCTCAGCTCTCAAATTAAAGACACGGACTGGCTGCTCGTCTGGGGAGTTAAAAATGGCGTAATTGGCATCTTCCTAATGGGCAAGTACTCATGGGAAATTAGAGAGTGCTGGGGAAAGATTCAGCCTGCTCTGTTCCAAAATACACGGATACACTTAGAGGCAGCTCAAGGATTTAATATCACTCCAACCATGCTCTGTATGGAAAAACATGGGAATTATGGGACAAGCTGTGATGAACTGTAAACACAAACACAAGTGAACATTATAATATGTCTTTGTTTGCCCCTCTCCTCCCACTATACTACATGCTTAGTTAGTGTTTACATGGGTAGAAACACGGTCTAAGCATTTTTATTCTTTAAAATTTCTGTATCAGTCGAAACTAATTCAGTGTGTGTGTGTGTGTGTGTGTGTGTGTGTGTGTGTGTGTGTGTGTGTGTGTGTGTGTGTGTAGGCCAGGGACCAGAAGACTCAGGGTAACCTGCAGCTGGCCCAGGAGTGTTCAGACAAGGCCAAGTGGTACAACATCCTGGCAGCCGGCTGGAACTTGCTGATTCCACTTCTGGCCGTCGTCCTTCTCGTCCTCCTGCTCGTCCACCTGGGCTCATCCCAGGGCTCCTTCGACTTCCTCGGAGAGGACGGCCTCCAAAACTTCATCAAACTGTTCAGCTGGTAGATGGAGGTGGAGAGGGAGAATTATTATTATTATTAATAATAATAATAAAAATAATAATGATAATAATAATAATAATAATAATAATGATAATAAAGAACAGATCACTCTCAAAGTCAACCCATTCACACTAACTGTGGGCATTTGATTAGATTCAGCGGATGAGCGCTGACATAACAGCTTCTAAGAATTTTAGCCAGACTAAGCCAAGTGATAAAGGTCTAAGTGTACGGAAGTCAGGGCCTGTCCTGGGCTTTCTAAAATCTGCTCAGCATTAAAATAATCCTAATCGGTGAAAAGGAAAATTTTACCTTGGGTTGTATGTTACAAGAATATCCTCCCTGGGATGCACTAATACTAATGCTGGTATCAAATATTAGACCAATACAAGACTAAAACAGAAAATTTGACCAGTATCTGAGAGCTACACATCAAGATTCGATGGCTAAAAGATAAGGCTTTTGTTCAAGTGACTTAAAACTAATGAGTTAAAACTAAGCAGTTAAATACAACAGTTTAGTAGTTGACAGCAAACAGCAACATTATCAACGCATCCCTAATTGTAATGTCAGTATTAGAGGGCGTATAAATAATTTAGCTTACACCTGCCAGTCTCCCAGAGATGGTCAGTTGAGATGTGAAGTTGATCAAAGATTGAAAAAAAATGGAAAATAAGGGAATAAATGGAGATGAGAGTCAGAGCTGAATCAAGAATGAGAGATTGAGCAAGCAGCTACTCTGGGTCATTTTTGTTGTTATTTATTGTATTTATGTCGAATGGAAATTTGGGTGACAGCTGAAATTACCTCTAGTCGGCACAGACAGAGGAGAAAGAGAGCAGAGAGAACAGAGGACTGTAGAGCCAAAGTCTGAGTACCGTGATGATGAGAAGCCACTTTACAAAGGACGATCAACATTCACCTCCCATTGATAGTCCTTTATTTTTTGTCTTTCATCAATTTTTAAAATTTTATTACTGTTACAGCATACATCTATTTTTTGTCATTATTCATGTATTGTGTTTTGTCGTTTTCAATTATCTTATAACCAACCTCCTGTGAGCTAAATAAACCAGATACTGTTAACTCAGTATTGCATTGAAAAACAAATCAGCCTTAACTTTATCCTTCACATAATGCGTTCATTCTACTTTATCAAAAATCCACCTACACTTCTCAGGTCTCTTTTTTCAGGTCTCCTCTCAGCTAATAAACACAGGGATGAAGAGATGAATGTTCAAATGGCCCTTGCGGTTCTGCTGCAGCACCTACACCCAGCTTTAAAGTGATCATTTTGGGCTTCATAGGTTTGATTCTGGGGCGGGTCTGAGGGCAACGGGCACGGTTGTTTTCATCCCAGCTGTGAGCCTGCTGCACGACCAACTATATACAGAACACCCCATTTTGGGAAACGGTATAAATGTGCCCTCCAGTTGTAAGGCAGGGCCGCCCAGGCAGACCACTACAGAGGAGTCTGCAGCAGTGTGGAGGCCTGCCGCGGGACACGATGGCTCACTTCCACTTAATCTGCTCTCAGTCTGAGGAACTATCACAAATTGAGTGGCACGCATTTTAGGTAACACTTGTGATTTTTCACTTGCCCGTGTCCCATGAAAATCTTCATAGCCTGAGCCAACATGTGACATGTGGATATTATCTTGTAGTTACACTAAACATCTGTCACACTACTTGATCCTGCCTTTAGGGTCATCATCACAGATGTATGCTGTGCTGCAAAACCACACTTCAAAAGACACCGAATGTGGCAAAGATTTTTTTGTATCAAATTCAAGGAGTTGAAGAAGAAGATTCAGATTCAACATTTACTGACATATATAGGTTTATAACAGGGCTCTGAAAATATCCCATCCCAGGTGACATTGGGCGAGGGTGCACACATCCACACCAGGGAGAACCCATGCAGGCACAGGGAGAACATGCATACTCCACACAGAAAGGCCCCAGGCCGGGGGTTCGAACCCAGAGCCTTCTCGCTGTGAGGCTACAGCACTAACCACTGCAGGACCGTGCCGCCATCTGAAAATATCCATCACAGTGGATGAGTGTTGTGCCAACATTGCTTTTCCTTCAAGGACTTGGTCCTTTTAGTCACCATGTATAGCCCATAAACATGTATTTATGTAAAGACTTGAACTGTCCTCACTAACATGTTATGCAGTAGTGGCAGAGGGCCAACATTTCCAATCCAGGAGGATGTGATAGAAGAATGTGTCAAGCTGGTACATGTCTTGCATGTATGTGAAATACACCCACTGAGATGCTCTTGAGCATCAGCATCAACATCATACAGTAAATCCCTCAGAGGTTTAATTTGTCCTCCACCTCTTTTTGCCATGTCTTTGATGACTTGGGTGTCCCGCTCCTCCCGACCTCCCACCTTATGTACTCCGGTCATATTAAGCAGCCTCTCCTTTGCTCGCAAGTTTATTTATACGCACCCAAATCACAGCCTGCAACTTCCAACTTTCTATTTTTCTCCTGTGGTCAGAGAGGAATGTTTACAGATGTCTGTGCCGTGGAGAATTACAGGCGAGCGCTGCAAAGGGAGGGGAGGGGGGGGGGGCGCTAGCTCCTCACTGCTCTTACAGGGGGCTGTTCGTTACAGCCGAGGGCGTGGGGAAACACTGGGAAGATGTGCTGTAAGGAAACATGCAAAAAAAACTTCATGTTAATTAACAAACATCTGACCTAAACTTTAACATTTCCCAACATGCCTCACTCTTACCTCGACTCTGACTCTCAGCAGCCAGTCAAAGTCAAACCAAGCACTGTGCGACATGAGTAATTCACAAACAAGGAGCTGAAGTGTGTTTAAGTGATGATTGATTTTTCAATTTGTTTGATTCAAATCTTAACCCAACCTAATCTTGTAACTCAATTTAATCCCACTCCAAATCTTTAATAGTAAAATACCCTCTGTCCCAGTACAATGTCCCCATCTTTCTACCATTGTGACACATAGTTATCACTAGTATAACACCACTAAAAGCTCTTATATGCACCGTGGGAAGTGCTTGTTTTCTACTGTCCCACAAGAGAGGGAGGTTATATCCCCCAAATTTTTTTGAATTGTTCCAGAAACAAAATCGAGCTAACACTGTTGTGACCAGACCTGTGAATGTAGCCACTCTGAGGTTACGCCTTGAATATCCAAAGCGAATTTCATGGTGATCTCGTTAGAACAGAAATGTAAAAACTGGATACACACAGGTACACGCAGACGCACACATCCATTCGCATGGAGACACGCGTACACTTAAATGTACACACAATAATGCACATACACACACTGCAGTAAGGATTCATACTGTATACATACATCCACAAACACACACCCACTGAAGCAGACCTTTTAATCCCTCCTGACACATTAACAGTTGATTCATGGCCTTTGTTTGAACGGTTGCTGTTTAGAAATGCTGATAAGTACAATAGTGGATTATTCATGAGCCCCAGAATACTTATATCACTTACACCGGGTGGGCTCTACATTCTGTAACTGCCACAGTCTAATCAACTCATCCACTGACTCTTCAAACTGGGAACACAGAATTCCTCGGAGCATAAATTGCTAACGCTAAATTTCATTTTCATGTCTAAACCAGTCCCACGCTGGCTCTTGGGGACTATTCACTTCCATTATAAATTGCTCCTGCTCCTGACATGTCAGACTTACTCCCAGGTGCTAAAATTGGAAAAAAAGTTGAATCACTCGGCTGTTACTCAGACGAACACATTGTCTCAACCTGTCTTTTCATTAGATGTTGTAACACAAGATTTCCTAAATTAAAAAAAACATGGGAGGCGCCTACAGCTTCAGAATCCTCCATGCTGTGAATTAACCACGAGTAGCTGGGCCCTGAATTTAGTCAAAATGTTGTAAATGTATTGTCTCCGTTATGTCATTTGATTATAGTCCCTATGAGATAAGTAAGTGTGATATAGCCATTCAACTGGTTTCTTATTGCATTGTCTCTGTTTCACGATCAACCTGATCAAAAACCTTCCTTCATCTTAACACATAACGCACATAACATAAGCTCCACTGCCACACTATCTTTTCTTTCCTTCGTGGATTGGATAAGTGTTTTCAGAGCAGTGGAGAGAAAACGAGGTTGAAGTATTTAATGTCCTCTCTTTTCTGTCTCGTGAGTGCCAGAATTACAAACATATGAAAGCCAAGCATGAACTCACAAGACTGCCAAAATCTGAGATTCATTACGTTTGTACTGTTGTGTTCCTATACCACGTGGACAGAATGCCCTCATGGAAGGATTATATGGGGTCTACTGTGTGGTGCATCTGACACAACTCACTTCTTGTTAAGTTAAAGTCAGAGTCCGTGCGTCTTTGTCCAGTGACTGTCTGACCCCTTGTGGCCTGTCGGGACTCGGGCACCAGGATTTATGAGGATTTCCTGTTTTTTGTCCATCAAGCCTTTCTAGCAACCACGATATAATAGAATAATAACAGTGAAACACATTGAGAAATGTGTTTGTAATATTTTGTTCACCTCACTTACATAGAAGATAGATAAAAATGAGATAAACATTACAAGATAATCTAAACCAATACAACACAGTTTTTTTTTATCAACACCTCTCTGAGACTGTATCAGAAAACAACTAAGAAACCAAAAGTTTCATGAAAGTAGTGTTAATTACAGGACTTTTTAATGGAGTTGCACCACTCCAGTTTACAGAAGCTTGTGTTTTTTGAGGTAGTCTTTGTAAATGTGTTGCTGCTTGTAGATGGCATACATGCGTCTACCTGCCTCACTGCACCTGTAAGACTGGGAGGGGTTTTTAGGTCTAGGGTTTTACGATATGTACTAGGCTACATTAAGAAAACAAATGAGGATGTGTGTATCAGAAACTCTGTGTAAGCACATTGTTTGCATAAAAATACATACTGTATGGACTGACGTGGGTGGAGCAACCATTTTGTATCAGCATTCATCTGAAAGAATATCATACCTCGTAAGGACCATGTTTAATACAAATGTATACAGACATTTACAAAACTGGAGAATCATCATGGTTGTGGCAGTTAAGTATCATACTCAAAGACAGTCATAAATGGTAAAGAGATCTAATGCAGTCTGCACACCACCCTTTGTCCACCTCTGGCCACTTTAACATCATCTGTGATATAGCCAGGCAAAAAGGTTAAGGAAATAAGTTATAGGAAATGAAGTAGGGCAAGTATAAGAATAAGAAAATAAACAAACAAACAAACAAACAAACAAACCAAGGCATAATTGCCTTCTTATTCTTTAAGAGCAAGTTTCAAGCTTGATTTTTCCTCTGCTCCTCTAACTGCCAGTTTGCCACATACAGTAAATGCTGGCAACTCCCACATTTCATCAGTAGTACAACAAGTTCCATAGTACACTTAATCTAAGACAGATCTGAGTGACTGGAGGGCGCAACAAGTAAAGAATCTGCATTTTTTTCTCCCCCCGCTCATCTTCTTTCTCATTGTGTTGCTGCCAATACTTTAGCTTAAAGCCACATGTCACCATTCCTTTGCATGCAATTGTGACTTTGCTAGCTTCTCAAACTGATTATACGACTGAAAAGACTCATAACTAAGTTTTATTGATGATTTTTCTTACATGTTCTGCCTCTCTTGTCTGGAGCTTTCTGCAGTAACTTGCTCACAAAAACAAAGGTTTATAAGAAATGTGCAACATCCCTCAGGAACATGTTTCACATGTGAGGGAGTTATGTAGATATTATGCAGGTATTGAGCAGGATCATTAATTGTCCTGCAGGACTTTACTTTTGGTAAAATCTAAAACAGAAATGTTATAGGCCTACACATATCATTAATTATAGTGAGTAGCCTGTTGACGGTCTGCAGCAGACGTTCTCAGAAGGGTATGATATTGTTATGTCAGTGAAACGTAGCAGCACAATGCAAAGCTGACGTGTCGCCTGGAGCCCCACGACCTTGTCACGACGGGAACAGGCCTGTGTGAGCGACCCCACCCCCCCCCCCCCCTCCCACCCCCCAGGGCCTCTCTCCCCCCCTCTCTCTCCTCCAACACGCCCACAGACATACAGACAGACAGGATACCTGGTAGACTTGGCAACACTGGGCGTTCCCAAACACTGCTGGGCTTGAAGAGCCAGTTGGTGGAGTCATCGTGGGATTCATCGGCACCAGCCGCAGAACATCAGCTGCACAGCCGAGAGCGACAAGCCACCGACCTGCAGCAGCACAGAGGACAACATGAGCAACATGAGCAGGTAAGAACTCGGGTGTGATTTCTAATGAAAGGAAAGCATCGATGACAGAGTCAATTAAAGTGTGAATGAGCTGCAGCATGGCACTCTACTGAAACATAAACATGTTGCTGGTGATGTTAGACTCATAGACCTGCACTTTACTTTCAGTACATTTTTAATTCTCAGGTACATGTACTTAATTATTTCAATTTTATGCCACTTGTACTACACTACAAGCTACATTGTGGGGATTCTGTTGCTCCTGTTTATATTGAATGTAAAATGAATGTTTTTGGATTTAACTCCATTAGACTTTAGTCAGCTTTGTCTCGCCTTCCAAGAATAAATAGTGTGTGGTTAATTAATGTTACAAAAGGGAAATAAAGTAATTTAGTTCAGTTCCCTTGAAAGGTTTTAACTGAGAATAATATGCATCCCTGCTACTCTGCACCTAGAGCGAATTGTGCTTTTTGCAGGACTGAAACAACATGACTGTTTGATGTGCTTATTGTAACTTTCAAAGACCAGTTAAAACAACAGCACAGTGATATCCAAATAAACTCTTTCCACCACTCACAAAGTCATATTTCATCCAATCACATCACATCTCAGTTCAATTTAAATTTTATTTATTATTTTATTTTATTTTTAACTTTATTTCAGCAGGATCATCCTGTCTGTTTCAGCTGCTGCTATCTAGGGAGCCCCTTGGACATATATTAATATCAATAAATCAATGAAAGTAATAATAATCTGCACAGTCTGTCGATCAAGTATAATTACATCCAGATTTCAGTTTACGTCTATACTAGTTTGTTCCCGTGTAGATCGTCTGACTGCTTACATATAGTTGAATAAATGCAGTGACACACCCTCCTGCACAGACTCAGACTCAGATCACGAGACAAGATTTCTGATGTAACTTCTTTATCTCAGGGATAAAGTTTTAGGAGCAGATTGCGAATGCATCAAGCAGTTAAGTGGATCTGTTTCGTATGTTTGTGCCAAAGACGACTGCTAACCCATTCTAAGACATGCATACATGTGTCCCATTGTACTTCTTTAACATGAACCAGTGCAGGGGATGTGACCCTGTGCCACATTCACTGTCAACCGATAATTCAATCAAAGCCACACTGTCATGTGCTGCTCTCTGTCTTTTTAGGGAGAGATATTTACACTTTTCCTTAGATCTATATGTAAAGGAGGAATGGCATGAACAGTGGCTCCGCTTTCAGCTATGTCTGAAATGTAATGACATTATCATTGTGATCTTGTAACATGCTGACGGTCGCTGACACAGGTGTCACACTTCCATAAGGAGGACAGTCTACAGTAGAATGGCAACTAGTGTAAAGGTCAAAAGTTAAATTCTGAGTTGGTGCTAAAGTAGAGAGAAACTAACAAAACAATAATAATATTAAAGAAATGAATGTATAAATTAGTAAATCTAATCTAACATAAATCTGATTTATTTCCCTGCATAAATTTATATACATCTCAAATCGTAGCTTGACCTTGTGAAAATGCACTCTGCAATACCTAAACCACATACTAGCTACTGTACTATAGGCTACTACTATAAAATCCTTTAAAGGAGTGGTACAACATTTTAGGAAATATGCTTATTTGCTTTGTTGCAGAGATAAGAGAAGATTGATACCACTCTTTTATACTGTATGTGCGGTAGCTTGGGCCAGCAGCCGGTTAGCTTAGCTTAGCATAAAGCCTGGAAACAGGGAGAAATGGCTAGCCTACTTCTGTCCAAGGGTCACTGGATTTAAATCTGCCTCCCTCATTTGTTAAATCCATACAGTAACTGAAGTGTAAAATTGAAAATTTAACATTTTGGTATGTGCCAGATTATTTCTTCCACTGGAATGGTCACCAGGCAACCAGCAGAGACTCCAGGATGCTCTGGTCCCTGCCAAGAAATAAGTAAAATAGCAAAGTTTAGTTTTTACAGTTAAACAGTGAAGATATAATGTGTTTTAGATGTGTTGGTAGGTGGATTTTATTACCCTTGGTAAAAGGCTGTAGCTTCATATTTACCATACACACATGGGAGTGGTATCCGTCTTCTTATGTAACCCTTGGCAAAAGAAGCGAATAAGTGCATGTCCCTGCTTTAGGGCATTGTGCAGGGGTAATTAAGTTAAACAGCAACGTGTTTGCAGAAAAACAGCAAGGGCTCTTTAAATTCTGTAATGCACTTCAAAGTTTTGTACAGTGGTGTCAGTTTGCTAGATTAGAAGTCATGCCGACATTTTTTTTTTGCTCACAGTTAAAAACATCAGGGGGTGGAGGTGGGGTCGGGGGGTTGGGGATAATGGTGTGTGGACCTGTAAATGTACACAGTGTTCTTTTTGAGCTCTCGCTTGTGCCACAGCTCCATTTATGCAGGTTTCTTCATGAATAAGAGCAGAAGAACAAGTTTCACAAATTGTCCTCTCAACAATTTTGTAGTGAGGGGGTGAACCTATATGTTGATGTCTCAAACAAAATGGTGGGTCCAGGATCAGATATGCTGCTTTCAAGTCTTTAGTCTTTAGACTTTAGTGAGCATGCGTGAATATGAGTTGTTTGTGTCACCGTCAGATGCCCGTGTTAAAAACTAGCACAAGATACTAGTGCATCCAGTAGTTTGGGCAATGAGCTTCAGTCATAGTCAACCCGTGAAAACAGGATGCATCGTCTAATAAACAACAGTCACTGGTTTTGATTGAAGCTGTTTGTATTGAACACAACGTTATTGTGGAGACAAACTGAGAATCATCCAATCCCCGTGCAGAACCCGCTCGCCTGCAGCATATATCTGTACACAATTATGGTGCATTCCAAAAGTTACAACTTTTGTCCTTCCTCCAGCAGCCACTAAACACCACAAAGTAGAATGGAGGAAACATAGGAGGAGTAAAGGAGAGTGGAGCAGGAAGAGAAGGCGCTGAATGTTACGTATTCAGCATTACAGATAAGGAACACAGATGTGTTCTGCTCTGTTTTTTCAGTGTTCATAAAAGCATGAGGTTTTGATTAATCTGGTTTTCATTGGTGGTCCAAACCTGTTCCATTACAATGAGGTGTTACAGTTAATAAATTTAGTTTTGGTACTTCTCAGGCTGTGACAATTAGAACTAACTTCTTAGAAAGAAAATCTACAGATAATAACTCGCAGAAAAGAGCGTCTAAACTTTGTTCTTTATCGTTGAACTTTAGCCTCGATGTGATCTGTGCTCAAAGTTGTGGTTTGTTGTAGAAACTGTTGTAGTAAATTCTCACTAAAATATACTATGCATTATAAATATACTGAATGTTAAACTTATATAATCCAATGGAATAGCTATGCTCACAAGTGAGGTTAGATTTGTATATGAACCGGCCTTTGTTTGTTATAGAATGGAACCTGGAGGGAATAAAGTTAAAGAAAATGGTCTGAAGGCCCTGGGAGCAGTGGTGTTGGAGTAGCAGCCGTAGCGAGGCCCAGATTGAGGGTGGACGAGGGCCTTAGGTTTAGGGTAGAGGGGAGGCTTTTGGATGCCTGGACCTACTACGCGCCTTGGCACAGGAGTCTTAGGATAGACGAGAGGCTTCTGGACACCAGGTCCTACTACGCTACCCTGGTTTGGGGAATTCAACACGGGGCTGGAAACCATTGCTCCCAAGGCGTTGATAGGTCAACTTTAGAAAATAGGTGGAGAATCCACCTAAGAAGGAACTATATGTGATTGTGCACAGGCACTCTGTCTTCAATTCGGATCCGGATCTGATCTCGCTTTTATTCTTGTGAAAGAATAAATTCTATTGCATTGGACTCTGATCATCTCCAGTGACTTCTTTTTTGAATCTTTTTTGACTCCAGTAAAAGTGCAGTTTTGTAGAAAGTAAAGTGTTGGTGAAGAGGTCTAGACTTAGTCTCTGGCCCGGCCCTGGACCTTTTTTCCTCCAACAAAACTATACTGTATTTAAATATCTGCAAATATTTTTTAAACATATTTTGATTTTGTGGCAGTTTTTCTAAAGCTTTTAATGCACATGACTTGAAGCAGAGACAGTGACACCATTGTTTTTAGCCTGGAGACAGACAAACATCCTCTGGTACATGATGTCCTGACAGTTCTTATATTCACTCAGTTCAGCATTGCTTTACAAAGTCAACACAAAGGTTGCGGTCAAACCATCAGAACTTCTCTGCTGAGCTCTGTTTGCAGTGACCACTGAACGTAACGCAAGTGGAGCCTCACCGCAAGACCTATATCATCTATATGTTTACAGGTTGTGCAATCACTGTTGCAAAGATGGACTTCAAACTTTAAATAAGCATGGGACTGACCATTCTGTCAAATCCTCCAACATATGGGGCAATAAAAAGGGGTCACCCTTGCAGGACTTTGCAGCAGGACGTAATTGGGCAGTTTTGCATTTGTCCAGGTTTGCTATTTAGGCCAAAAGTCAGAGTCCCTGTTCTGTTCTCCAAACCAGCATTTGTATACAAGAACATCAGCCAAAAAAACTATTGTGTTGACTTAATTGATTTTTTGTCTGAGTTGCCTTTTAATCTTTTTTTTTTTTTTTTGCCAATTTAGTCTATTTAGTCATACTTATCAACCAACTAAAACAAATGCATTACTTTATGCACATACACATTATGCATGCAGTACTTACCTGTGCTTCTGTGTTGCTGATTAAATATTTCCCTCTCTGCAGATGTCTGATCAGCCAGGTGGAGGTGCAAAACTTCATCGAGAGGTGTATGATGGCCGTGGGCACCAAGCAGCACCATGCTCGCAGCCTGGCCGAGGTCCTGGTGGAAGGAGACCACAGAGGCCACTACAGCCACGGACTCAACAGGATGGGTAAGTGGGGAGCTGGACGTTCATCACCTTATCTGCGTGTTTAACTTAAAGATGGCAGCACCACGGTAGTGGTATAGAAGAAGAAAGAGGGTAAAGTGTGCTCTCTGTCCTCTGTACTTTTCGACAGACATGTACGTAAAGGACATCCAGACGGGAATCTGTGCCAAGGACGGTGAGCCGGTGGTGGAGAAGGAGAGCGCAGCCACGGCGCTGGTGGATGGGAAGAACCTCCTGGGTCCTGTGGTGGGGAACTTCTGTATGAATCTGGCCATAAAGAAGGCCAAAGAAGTTGGTATTGGCTGGGTGGTGGCACATGGTGAGTCCCTTTTTTTTTTTTTTTTTTTTTTTTTTTTTAAGGACATCTTGATGTGGTTGACTTAAACTTCAAAAGGCCATAACTGTGTCAATACAAATTTACATTGTATGGATAGGACATGTTCACTACTTTATTGTGAGCTACTGGTTCAAACCAACATGCTCAGGCATCACATACAAACCTGTATTTGATTGGACTGAATGTTCAGCATTCATAAAGGGATTATTTTCCCTGTTTAGTTATTAGAAGGGTGTTTGGCTCATATAACAGGCAATTAAGCCTGGCAGTGAGGAAAAACAGCTACAGGTGAGACACACAGGTTGGACTTGAAATACTATAGTTCCCTTTTATAAAGCATTAAAATCCCTCTCAGGTTTATCAGTTTTATTTTTATTTTGTCACTTGACTACCGTGGAAAAGCAGTGAACACATTTTGATGAATAAAACAATGAATTACCATTGCTTCTAACCCATTAAATGCTAATGGGACTGTTCATTCTTAGGTTCCAATCATTACGGTATTGCTGGATACTACGCAATGCAAGCTCTGAAGGAAAACATGATTGTGAGTGAAACATTTATTTTCCTTTGGACCCATTTTGAATATCTACACCGTTGTTTGTTGGAGGAAAAAAATGTTAAAATTGTTTTTCATTTGTTTCAGTTTCAGTTCAGTTTTTTCCAGAAAGGAGAAATTTTGTATTTCCAAATGTTATTTTCTTTTTTTTTTTCTAATATTGATCTGACCACCACAGGGCATGTCATTTACCAACACGTCCCCACTGGTGGTTCCTACACGTGGTAAAGAGGTAAATGTATTATTGGTTCAATAGAATAAGCTGCACTGCATGACACATAAGAGTTGGTCTTATTGTACTGTGGACATTGTTCGACATACTGACTGAATGTGTATTTATCCAAGATGTTTTCTAAAACGATCCTGCAAGTAAAAATCTTTCCCACCCTAATATCATGACCCTGCTGTTTGTAGTGCACGTTGGGCACCAACCCCATCAGTGTGGCGGCTCCTGCTAAAGACGGAGACAGCTTCGTTCTGGACATGGCCACATCAGCAGTCGCACTTGGAAAGGTAAGATCAGATTTTTTGATTACCGCATACCTAAACTGTTTGGACAAGGAAGGTTTGAATTATTCATCTAGTTTATACACAGGCTGAGTTAAGTGGGGGATAACAGGAAGTGTGAGTAATCTTTTAACTTCTGAGTGGATTCATGTAATTGCTTCACATTTTGTGTTCCTATCAGCTGAAAGAGGGTGAGGCAAATCCTATTATTAGTCCAATCAAAATAAAAATCAACTCAAGGTGCACTGAGAGTTGGATGCAATCGCTCCATCAGCTTTTCAGAAACTAGTTTCAGTGGCAGAAACACTGAATTACATTGAATTACTTTAAAAAGTAAAAAGTAAAAAACTTTATTTATTTAAACAAACATATTTGCTTCACATTCTGTTGTTGTGTACTATAATGTCTCATTTATCAAACATTTCATCTTACTCTCTTATTTAATGTCATTGTCAATGTCGCAGGTGGAGCTCCACGAGCGGCGTGGAGACCCCATTCCTGAGGGCTGGGGCTGTGACGCTCAGGGAAAGCTGACACCAGACCCCAAGAAAGTCCTGAGTGGAGGAGGACTGGTGCCCATTGGCGGCAGTGAAGCCACAGGTCAGAAACCAGTAGATACAACTGTTAGCATTCAGCTCAGGGGGTAAGAGATCCGGTTCAAGATGTTTCCATTCTGTCACTGAAATATTATACTGATGTTGTCATATCATGTTGAAATAATCCTCCCGTGCTACTCTTTCCTCACATGTAATTTGTTAACAGTCGAGGAGAAACTGTACAGTTTGTAATTTAAGCACAGCTCTGATTGGCTGATTGTCAGTCTTTTTAATGTGCAGCATCTACACAGATATTCCAGCTCTCTCTACTATGGGTTAATTGTATATAATGTCACGTAGTGTGCAGCAGTGGTTCCCAACAATTAGGTATTGCAAGTGGACTGACAAATCATTAGCAAAACAGTACAATTTAAGCCAATGATAGGAATTTTCATGTTGCGGGTCGGATTGGGGCCACCAACATCAAGTGGGCTATGAGTTGGAAAAGGTCGGGAACCTCCTATTTTACAGTATTTGTTGCACTTAACCTTTCATTACGTCAAAGGACTGAAGTTCATTCATGTCATGTTATGTCTCTGTGGCTTTCAGGAGGGTACAAAGGCTACGGTTTGGGAATGATGGTGGAGGTGTTCTGTGGTATCTTGGCCGGTGCGAAGTACAGCAAACATGTCCGCACGTGGAAAGTAACAGACCGTGTTGCCAACCTGGTACATTTGATTTGTCTTTTTTTCTTTTGGCTTGTGTTGTCGCGTTATAAAGTTATCTGTCACTGTTATCTAAAAGACAAAATCAATGGTGCTCAGACGGAGGGCATATTTATGAATACGTCATAGGCCTATTTACTGTTTGTGTTGGGTCAGTTCACAGTGTTGTCATCGTCCTTGTTGTGTTTTCAGGGTCAGTGTTTTGTGGCGATCAACCCAGAGAATTTTGCTCCCGGGTTCAGCGACAGGATGTCCGACCTGCTGTCCATCCAAAGAGGCATGGATTCTGTGAGTAGGTCCCACTGCTGCCATCTTGATGTACACACTAATTAAATGTAGATGATGTCCAGTCATTTTGTCGTTGTTGCTGTTTATCATAGGCTGATGCCAACACTCCTGTTTTGACTGCTGGAGACCCGGAGAGGATGAACATGAAGAAATGTGAGGAGTTGGGCGGGATTCCCTATCACATCAATGTTGTAAACTACATGGTAAGATATTCATAAAGTGACTACAAATCACCAAGAAAACGATCCCCTGTTGTTTTTCTACTTTGAAGATTAGGCAAGGCAAATTTATTTGTATAGCACATTATCATACACAGAGGTCATTCAATGGGCTTAAGAAAAATAAAAGAAGCATAAGAATCTGGGTAAAAGGCATTAAAAGAAAACGGTATAAAATCAGTATAAAAACACGGATAATAAAATAGATAATATGTAATTTAAGTGCAAGATTAAATGAAGGCAGAGGCAAATAGAGAAGTTTTTAGCTTCATTTTAAAGCCAGTTGCAGTTTGGGCAGATTTGATCTCCATTGGGGGCTGGTGCAGTGGGCAGCATAGTGGCTAAAAGACATTTCACCATTTTCAGTTTTAACCCTAGACACCACTAACTGACCAGCTCCTGCAGATCTTAGAAACCTTTTGGGCTCAGTGAACATTTCTCGAATATATATTTTGGGCACAGGCCATTTAGTGACTTATAGACAATGTGTAAAACTTTGAATTCAACTCTGCATCTGACTAGAGGCCAGTGCAAAGACTTGAGAACTGCAGTAATGTGCTCTCGTTTCTTAGTTTTAGTCAGAACCCGAGCAGCAGCATTCTGAGTAAGTTGTAGCTGTCTGATGGTCTTATTTAGTAAACCAGTGAGGAGAACACTGCAGTAACTGACTCTGGAAGATATAAAGGCATGAATGAGTTCCTCTAAGGCTTGGTTAGACACAAGGTCTCTGATCCTAGCTATTTTTTTTTTTTAACTGTGTTATAGCTTTAATGTGTTCACTGAAACTAAGATGCCCATCTGTGATTACATTGAGATTTTTAACATGGGTTTAAGTCTTTAATGCTCTACACTCCAGGTAGGCACTTAGTTGCACCCTTCCTTCTTTGTTCCCAAATAGAACTATCTCAGTCTTGTGTTTATTTATTTGGAGGAAGTTTTGTTGCGTCCAGCCATTCACTTTTTCAAGGCACAGACACAGAGAGTCAATGGGACTGAAAGCATTAGGTGAAAGAGCTAAATAAATCTGAGTCATCTGCATAGCTATGATAAGCCACCTTGTGCTCTTGAAACATATGGCCAAGAGGGAGCATATACAGGTTGAACAAAAGGGGCCCAAGAATGGATCCTTGTGGGAATCCGTATGCCATAGTGGTTTTCACTGATTCATGAGTACCGATAGAGACAAAACAATCCCCACCTTCGAAGCATGTCCTGAACCATGTGAGGACAGTTGAGTCCAACCCAGTTCTCTAATTTGTCTCACTGCACTAAAGCTGCACTAAGATCTAGCAAGACCAGGATAATTATTTTACCAGAGTCTGTATTTAGGCAAATGTCAACAAACAAGATATAGCATATTAACTAGTGAGCTTTAGAGGTCCTCGCAGGCTGATTTTGTTATGTTTGGACAGAGGCAGGCTAGCTTTTTCCCTATACTTCCAGGTTTAATGCTAAGCTAAGCTAACTGGCTGCTGCCTGTAGCTTCATATTTAATGTACAGACGTGACAATGGTATCAATCCTCTAATCTAACTCTCAGCAAGGCCTTAGAGAGTGAGCTAACCTGATGCAATTTTTCCATTTTATGTCTGCAGAATGAATGTGCTAAGAAAATTGGTGCCAGCCCGCTGCTGCCTTGTGACAAGCTTGTCCCCATTTAACTGGTCAAGATTGTCAAGATTGGAAAATATGGCACTTTTGTTCATCTTGAAGTTCAGACTGAGCAAACACTCTTCATGCACATTACATATACATATACTGCATGTTGACAGTCTTATTTTATTCATCTGAACCACACTAGTTAGGTATTTTAATCTTTTTAAACTTCTTTGAGGTTAAAAAAAATCATAACTATGAAATTTGTAACAAAATGAAAATATCAAAAATGTTTCTCTTTTAAAGGACTTTTTCAAATGTGTTTTTAATTTTTTTTTAAAATCTAATGCCTTAAACATGCTGTATCTCTGACAGTGAAATACGCACATTCTTTGTCTGAAGCATTTGTAAGTCACAGATTTATGAATGATGGATGCCTGGGTGTGAATGAGTTAATAAAGCTTGTTTGGTTATGTTGAAAGATGAGCCAAAGTCAATGTGGTTTGTTGTCATTACTGACTGACTTGACAGTTGGGACACTCCCTGTTAGAGAGCCATTTTACTTGCTCAGGATATAATGCAGTGCAATTTTATAACTGTGCAATAATGGCTACAGTATAATGCAAAAAATATATTTTTTAAATGAAAAGTGTTTTAAATTTTAATACTTAAAGTTCAGATGATCTTTTTATCCTGATATCATAAATCATCATTCTTATGTGCCTTATTAAATAAAAGCTATATACACCCAAATTGTATTGTATTGTATTTCTATGAATGAATTTATTGCTGTTTCCTTCATGTTCATGTTCCTTATCAATATCTATATCTGCAGAAGACGAACCCTTAGGCATGTCAACCACCAGATGGCGACATAAGCCACACATTTTTGAGTAGTTTATATGGTATTGATTTAGTTTAGTATAGCAGTTTAAGATAGTCTTGAAACAGGTTAAACATTTTAATGTCATCTTTATTAAAACATTATTGATTATCATTCTTTGCCACAATTAATTTATGTCCTTTAAACATGTTTAAAATCAGCCATTTCTTTTTTATTGCTTTGTCTTTATCACTTGAGTGTGAACCTTTGTTACTGGTCATATAATCTGCACATTTTGACACAATTTTTCAAATTCACTATCCAGTTAATTTTAGAGCAAAATCTCATACAACAGAAATTAAACTTTGCACAGATATAAAGATGGAACCTCTGTGTTGAAATAACCAATGAGGTCAATTAGGTCAAAATTCCTGTTACAGCTTGCATGTACGATTTTGTTACCACTAGGTGGAGACATAGTCTGAGTGAACTCCTGGGTTTGGATCTTCACTACTCATGAAAACTTATATGTTTTTTTTTTTTTTTAATTAAAAAAAAAACAAAAAAAGATACTACCAAGTACCATATTGGAGATATGATATGTGAGCAGAAGTTAATACACCAAAACAACTTTAAACCTTTTTATTCCACAATGACCCCTGAAGTAAACCAGGCAGAAATAAGACACTTGTTGCCCAATAAAGGCAAAATGCAATACATCATTAAAAACATAAACAAACAAATGAGGACTGAAACATGCTGGCAAATATTTGATGGTTGCTTTAAAATATTCTTTATTACTATAACTATTTTGATAATTTAAGGGTTGAATAATTTTCAAAGTTAACAGTGCTTGGATTAATTCCATTATAACATTTAATCTGTTTCTTTCAAGACAAACTAAAATATAATTATGTCACCTTGATCTCCCTTCCCAATACATAAAGTAAACCGTCTTGGAACATTATCACGTAAATATATATATACACACATATATATATATATATATATAATCCTTTGAAAATAAAATATAAAATATAATCTCCTTTGAAATTAGTAGAATATTACAACCTGACCTAAACTTAGACTGGTTCTGTGCACAGACTGGATCCTATTATAATTGTTAATATCTGTGAAAGTGTGAGCTGTGTGCACATGAATGTAATGCATGGATCTGTTTCCGCATCTGTGTATCCATATGTCATATGCATTTATGTGTATGTGTGTCTGTAGTGTAACTTTATGATGATGATACACTCTTCAGCTGAAATTAATGTCAAAATATTTTCAGTTATGTTTTTTTGTTGTTGTTGTAAACTGCCTGTCTGCTTTTGTTGCATGGAGTCTTCTTCAACAGTCTTCTTCTCCTGTTAGGATCAGTGTACAGCTCATTCTGAAAATGACTGAAGGAAAGGCTTCTCCCAGAGCCACAAGGGAGAAGGGGGACTGGGCAGTGACAGATGCCCAGATCAGGACCTTAATCTCCCATGCCAAAAGTCCTGGCACTGGGCCCCGGGCCCTGGATGTCTCGTTAACACTCGGCCGGCCGCAGACAAAAGAAGAGAAATCAACAAATCAATGGGCTTTCAGCCCCACCAGGGGAGGGGAAAGGAGGTGGAGGAGAGTTGGGGTGGGGGCTAGTGAGTGCTGGGCTGGGCTGGGCCAGGTCTGCGAGTGGGTATGAAGGGGATGCATGGAGATTAGGTTTTTGCTGAGGGGGAAGGTGGGTGTGTGCTGGGTGGAGGGCTGCGCCGAGTCCAAGGATTAAGGGGCCGATTCAAACACTCGTTATAGGGGGCAGACTCAGAGGCGTGTGTGCATGGATGGATGGATGGATGGATGGATGGTGGGGGTCTAATCTACCCTGGCCTTGGCCTGGTGCCCTTGTGTGGATTAAACGGGGCCCCAAAGAGCCCTGAGAGCAGGGCCACTGGCTAGGATTAAGCAGATTCTAACAGGTGTTTTCTTTTGTGGTGCTGAGGGGGGATCTGTCCATCACTCACTGAACGAGCAAATCATGAAGTGATCGGCTATTACTGATGGGGCGTGCCATGCCAAAAGGGCATGCCATGTGTGTGTGTTGGTTAGTGTTTGTTTTTGGACTTGTATGTGCTATTAGACAACACTTGCTGCTTAGTGATGAGTGTGTGTTGGTGTATTTTTCAAGAAGTAGGGTCATATCTGTAGGAAACTTGTCCGATGAGGCGAGAAGGGGAAATACTTTTTAGCTAAACCGGTGCTAAACTGTGAGATCACTCGCACAGACAGACACATGTTGGGAAGGTGACGTCCCGATGCAGCTGATCAGTCGTTGTGACTGTGAAGCAGCAGCTCTCTGCACTGATCCACTATGGAGGAGATTAGTGTAGCTGCTGCTGGAGAGAAGCACTTTCACACTGTAGGAGGATCAGATCAGAAGAGCTTAGAAGTCACAGAGCTTGTCCCCAACCACTTTAGCTAAGAACTAGAAACACACACCCCAATATAAACACACACAGGGAATGGTATATTATGCACTACACTGCAGATAGGTGTGAGAACAGGTAGATGACTTGACATTGTTATTTCATCGCTATTTTACTGATGAAAAGTGTTCACAGTGAGGTCTGCGTCTTTAGGTGAAAATAAATAAATAGGTAAAATAATAAGTCTTTCATGTTGTGATACCATACTGTATAGTGTTGTAGCCCAGATAAAGAAAAACTTTATTATCCACTTCAGTGAAAATTTGACGACACGTCAGCAGCCGAACACATAGAGAAGTAACATCAAAGACAACGTCAGGCGTGAATGTCATTAAATATATTGAGTATTCCTGATTTACAAACCACAGAGAGATTTTACACAAAAGTAGTGTCATTAATAATAATAATTAAAAAAAAAAGTGGACTCCAATTTCATGGACAAAGTTCTAACTGTAATGGGAATGGATTTAAGAAGGGAGGAGTGGCGTGATGGAGAGAGTGGGAGGAGAGTTAGAAAAGCTCTGCTGCTCTCCTGCTGGGTCTTTAATGAAGTGGAGCGACTTCCTGGTTTGTTCCTTCCAGCTGTTGTGCCTACAAAGCCAAGATATTTGGCCTTGGCTCTTTGTCCTGCTCGGGCTACCATACCTCCAAATGACTGATGCGAACACGTAAAAATAAAAGCAAAGCATCTGGTGTCTTGATTCCTCCAACTGCTCGGGAACGGAAACGTCTCTCCATCTGCTGCCTCCCACGTTAGGGTTTGGGATTGGTGTCGGTTGTTGGTACAGGTGGTTAAAGTTCAGTGTCAAGCTGCTGGAGACTGAGTTACAGTTAATATTTCAAATGTTTGTCTTCTATCGCTGATTCTATGTTATATTTCATACACCATCTACAATTTTTTTTTCTATATTCTTTTTCATTTGGGGTATCTTATTTATTTAATTCTTTATTTAGTGTTTCAATCTTAAAAGAAATGGGAAAAAGAAAAAAAGTAAATACAAGACCCTACATTTTCACATTGAAACCAGCAGTCTCAAATCACAAGTCATCAAGCTGAAAGTTTTCCATGACATCTTGATTATCATAAAATATATATATAGTTAGTATATCCCCTCATAGATGACATATATGGCAACATCACTCTTGATATGGGGATATGTCATATATTAAACTTTTTTATGGGTCACCATGGTAACAGCATGTTGCAGGTATGCAGTCTCAGGTGCTGTTAGTTTTTCAGGAAAATAGACCTGCCCAAAAAGAAAAGAAGAAAACAGAATTTTTTAAATAGCTGATTTACATGACACGGTGATTAATCATTCAGTGAATGCCATGAAGACAATGATCCCCTCTTTCCACCAATGTAAACTTTAGTGCTGGGCTGGTACTTTGGAGTTGGTTCAGACTCCGAGACAAAGCTCATGTCAACCGTGGATGAATGGCAGCATTATAGACGAAACAGAGAAGAAGCTCCTCTTTTTTCATCTTTCCAAAAAAACAAGTGACATCTTCTGTTTTTTACTATGACTGCAACATCTGGCATTCAGGCTTCTTCTGTCACTTATGTGAAACTATCATACAACTATTAGTGTGAATAGGGGAAAGTACCAGTCGGGCTCTATATGTGTGAAAGAGTCTTTTCTCTATGCTCGTGTAAAGCAGGTGGTTCATGTGCTGCTGTTTTGGTCAAACAGAAACTAGGGTAGAGCAAATAAAAATCAGACAGGAAGATCACACCTAACACCCTCTCATTGTTTGCATCGCCTTGTGGTGGCGAGCGGATTTTAATTTCCCTTGTGTGGTTTGCACACCTCTGGATATTATGGCCGCCAGCTCCTGTCTCTTACACCCACATGTCAACAGACAGCTGAGGTGTTGGCTCGCTTTTGTCTGTGTGTGAGGTCCTAATGACACTTTAACTGTTGTCTTCATGTGT